CAACCTTCGGTGATGAGACGAAAACAAGTAATGTGACAATAAAATTGAATTTGTGCCAAGAACTGTAATATTTGTCGAAACGATTCACTTGAACATTCAAATTACCATCATGAGTATAAGTTGCTCACATAAAAGTGCTCGTTACCATTTAAAAGAATGTACTTTTTTAGGCTGAAATGGTTTCAAATTTTATAACGAATTTCATGATATTCAAAGAAATTTCGTGACCTCCCAACGGTTTATCGCCTCATCGTGGCTGGCAAGTGTTTCCGCGCGTCGAACTGCAATGTACAACAGGGAAATTATCCCCTAGCAGGATCTTCCAAGCTGAGCTGGGAAGGAGTCCGACGTTTCCATCAGGAAGCCTAGCTAAGAGAGTAAACCAGTACCAGGATTTGTCACCATACCAAAACAGTCGTATGATGCCGAATCTCCTTGTGGTCTACAAGGGCGGCGACGGCCTGTGGTTGGTGACGACTTGGGGAAGACTTTGGGATTCCAAGGAACCACAATGGCTTAACCAGCAAATCTCCGAAAATTGGAGATTATGCCGGGGCTCGCACAACTAGTAAGGACGGGCCATTCAAGTATGAAGTGTGAGGTAAGAACTTCAAAAATGACTCTCTAAGAGGCCTCAGTGAAAGCACTTTGTCCAAATCCTTTCCACTGCTGTGTACTCCATCGGCGAATAGTTGTTTCGCGTTCGTTGCTTCAGTGCATTTTGATCAGACAGGTCCGTCCTTTCACACGACTCGTCTTGCTCTATGGTTCTCAAGACGCCTTGCTCTCGATTCGTTTCCTCGCAACGTCATCCACAAAGGGATTCGGACTTTTCATATGTGGGTTCAACTGCTGCTGCTATTGATGATTTTCTTCCCGTCACATATATCAATAGGTGCTGGTTTAGTCGATTGTCCTTGGAATCTTGCTATACTCGGGCTTGTGCGTTCAAATTTGGATCGCATAGAGTAAACTTTTCCCGGGCAAAACTAGTACCAATTCCCCGACCCGTCAAGGATGAAAGGCTTTGTTTGCCCGAGGCGAAATCGAACGAAGCAGTTTTTTGTATTAGTAAAAACAACTGAGTTTGAAAAATAGTAAAACGGGTTTCGAGAACCAAAACAGGGGTGAAGAACGTAGTTGGTGAGGGCTTCGCCAGTCATCTCGATATGTTCCTCTTAATCGCATTCCAATCATTAATTTTGGGCGGCCACTCAAAGGCAGAAAAGTCGTAGTGTGGTACCATCCTGTCACTCTGAAGAAGTTACTATCTCGTACTAAAGGACTTTCGGAATGGTTTTAGACAGAGCATCTTATCAAGAATAAGTGTTCGAGTAAAGTGCGTTGAAGAAGACGACAACATTTCAACCGGCGCCATCTCGACCTTCACCAGTTCCTGTCACCCTTTCGCCTTCATTCATAACAGTAAGCCCGTAAACTTTGCTTATTGTTTACAGTAGCTTAAGAGCACATCACAGTTTATAGTGAACTTTTTTATCGAAAAAGATAGCAATGGCTTCAACACCTTTTCTACCAGAGGAGCACAACTGTAGTTGTTACGGGTGAAACGGTGAACTTCTGGGCTTCTGCACTTCACAAAATTCCAGAAGTAGTTTGGATAATTTTACCGATTTTTAATTGAGCACTTCTTGCGTTGTTTAGAAGACGCCATAGTTAGCTAAAAGTCTGGTGAGTACGTTAGACGAGGCAAAGTTTCGGATTGCCATTCTTTATTCTTCTGACTCTCCTGTGCTGTTGGTTGTGCCGCAAAGTTTGTTGTCGTTCACAGTTTGTAGGTTTATATAAGAGACTTTGCTCTAATTAATCAAATACATGCTTATATATACATGTAAGTGTATGTTGCTACACACTACTCTTTCAAGTTTTTATGTCACTACAGAAGTGTTTCCGTTGATTGGTCAGTGCCAATTGCAGGTCTCACTATTGTTTTCGTATTTCGGCTACTCTCACAATATTTTTTTCCTCGCGCTAGTTTTATGGAAATCGAAAAAACTTAATTTGGCGACCAATAAGAGGGACTACAGTTTTTTGTTAAACCAAAATTTACTCGGTGCAGTAAAATATTTCAGTGATTCAACGTTGTTCCAAAGGAGTTCTCAATGCAGAAATCCACTTACCAAACTTTTGCATTTTTCCAGTGTTGTCCACGACGAATGATGAGTGATAGTTGAGTGCAAACACAATGATGTCGAGATATTTTCAAGATTCGGTGCTTTAGTTACGCTTCGAAATTGCGATCACCCTTTCCAAGGGTCAATCTGATCCACTGCACCACTGAGGCGTTTGTTTCAGCTTTCCTTCAGCGCGTGCTCGTGATAAACGTAATGAATATCTCAGGGCCGCGTTCTAACAATTCAGTAACGTCTGCTGAAATCCAGAGAGTGCTTTTACGATAGTTTTTTAAAAAGTGAAATCAGCAGCCACAACATCGAACCTGTCTTCATCGTTTAGGTTAAAAATATACCTAGTATAGATGCATAAGTGAACAACTGAGAATAGTTAACAACTAGTAGTTAAGAACGATAGGTAAGACAGAGTTCACCTTAAAGGAACCCAAGAGTCCTTCAGGAGGACTACCTACATAATAAGTCGACATTTTTATGTCTCACATAAATTAATTGCATCCGTGGCTGGAAACGATTCGTTGACCTTAGTATGATTCTGTAAGATGTCTCCATGCTCGAAACAGAAAACCGCCGTAGGTGACGTTCTCAATGGTAAAGCGAGACGTGCGGTAAATACAACAGCGATCGTGCAATTCGTGCAGATGATCCGTCCATATATCTAAGTGTTAATAATATTTTGAATCTAGAATCAAACGTTGGAGACCGCTTATAATGTATTCTCCAGGAGGAAGCAGTTTCAGAATTTCTGTGTCACCTTTCTTTAAGGAGAATTCCTTGAAGAAGTGGTCCCAATAAAGTTTTCTTTTCATAAAGCCGTCATAATAAAAAACATTCTTTTAGACTCTGCAAAGAGTCGGGAAAATGATAGTGAGTCAATAACGTGTAACATAATATAATGATTCTGAAGCGTTTTCTTTTGAGAAGAAAATTGCTCGCTGTATCATCGACATTACCTTTCACAGCAGTGGATGACTGAGTGTGTCAACTGTTTTTTGGATATTCCTGGCTAAAATGATGCAGTAGATCTTTTACATATTGCGTATAAGATAGGTTTAAAATATTTAACTGTTTCAGTTATTGGCTTCAAATATAGAGGTGTAAAAAACAGATTGATAGAGACGGCTTTAATTTCTACGTGCAGGACCACAGATTCGAACTTCCTCGGGGTTAACGAAGATCGCCACCAATTCAGGCTCAGAAATTTTCCAAAAACCACGTTTGAGAAAGTTTTCTCAAATCCACAATACCTTGCGATAGCCTACTACGAAGAGCTGGAAATCACAGCCATCGCACTTTCCTAGAAAGAATCTGCTTGACGGCCCTTTATTTATCATGAAGGCGAAATACTCAAGCATGGCCGAACCCGCAGTAAAATCCTGGGTCTTTATGGATATTAGATGCTAGAAAATGAGTATATTAAATGCTAAGATTTGCTAAGATTTTGAAGACTACTAAGATTCGCAACATATGTGATATTAATAAGTAGAAAATGAGAAGTTAACGCATTGCTATGAACTGTTGTTGCTGTATCGCAATCATAGCTCTTCAGCTGTTTCACTGCAGTGTAAGCGCTATCATCAATGTGTTACTGTACACCAAACACCTTCCATCTTTTGTTTTCGAAGCACTCGGGCTCTGAGGCCGTGCATGATAAAAACTGAATAAGGAAAAAAAAGGTTCAGTAGACGAATGAAAAGATCTCTGTGGTTTAATAGATATTTAACGCTGGTCATGGAGATGGGAAACTTTATCGGAAAAAAATGAATCTGAAGATGTGTAGAAACAGAAGAACCATGGTCATCTGACAATATCACCGCATAGAGTTTTCTTATATCCTACAGACCCTATGCCTATCAACAAGCCACTTATCCATTTGTTTTTGATCAATAGGCAAACGTTTCTTAATGGAATACTTATTAAAATATGAATAGGCTTCCACGATTTTCACGTTCCTCAGACCTCGAAAAGGGTAATACAAATACGCTACTTGGCCAATTACTATCATACACAGTCTTAGTGTAGTGTTTCCTCCATGTTTACAAGCTAATGTGATCAAACGACAGTGTGTTAACTTAGATAACTAAGCTTTTATAAAATCTGCGACGAGCCGTTAAAGCGACTGACTAGCATTTATTCTACTTCTACTAACCATTAGGTGAATTTTGATAACTCTAGAAATTTAGAACACTTCATCCATGCACAACAGTACTCCGTCAGGCACCAGTGTCCACTACTAATTAACCAGTAAACCTAAATACTTTTTCCATTCTGGGTAATTTTGCTAGATTACTAACAAACTGAATCAGCGAACCATCACTTATTTCGGTTTTTAACCGTCATATTTATCCCCGTTAAAGGAACAACGCCTACACTGACATTTCAAGATTACGATCAGTCAGATGGAAATTGTACTCCTACTGTATCTTTGATAATGGGTTATCTAAGAATGTATGAAAGAACCGTTACACACAGTTCTTGTCGTATCTATAATTATAATTAAGTGCAGCCTGCACGGTTTTTCAACGAAATGCGTTATCAATTCGTACGCCTGACTGAAATTTTATCAGCTGTCCTTGGAGAGCTTCAAAAAGGCTACTCGCTCTAAGACCTTGTGGATAACGACATTTCCAATAAACACAACATAAAAGCCAGCACCTCACTCCTTCATACATTTATGCGTATTCCTTGTTAAAACATTTTCAGCTACTCCCATGTCTATAAGACAGAGAATTTTGCCAGTGATTCGCTAGTTAACATGGAAACAAACGCCCATGAATGTAAATATACCTTTGCCTCTTCACTCGTTCATAAAATTTCAAGCACACTATTGATAGGAGATCCTAGCTTTCAGCAATGAAGACCATTCTCATACTCATTACGCTAATGGCCATGCTTCAATGCAAAACCTACAAGATGGGTGCTCGTTCGTCGGGTTCGCTCATAGCCCGCCTTATCAAGTAAGATCTACGAGCAGATTTGTCATTTATTTATTTAGAACGACCCAGAGCCTAAAACGGTATCGTTGTGTTCAATCAAATTTTAAACTGAAATTGGGAACGTGTTCGCACCAATCCTTCTTGGAGTAATGGCCGCCGCCTTCAGTGAAAGTTATTAGTTCCACTGTATTGTAGAGTAGCGGTGATAAGGTAGTATGGCAACTGCACAACCAGTGACAAAGCTTTTAGTGGCCGCCATTTTTGAAGACTACGAGGGGATAACGTTTTGCGTTGCTGAATGCTTGTGAGCAAATTAGAACATTCTGCTCGTGCAACACTTAAGATACTGCGTAAATAATACTGCGAGAAACGTTTGGTGAATTAAACACGATGGGCGACCATAAGCTTCAATTAATCAAAATTATTAGTTAGCAGAATGCTGTTTGAGGGCCAATCTCTATCACAAATATCTGGAAGAGCGTAACCTCCGTCGTTCCCAAATACTCAAGAAGGGATCGCAACCGACTACTACGATGATTTCTACACTGGCAATGTGACAGTCGGAACACCCGGTGAGCACTAGTAAGCAAGATGGTGTCAAAGATGTGGTCGTGAGTTTTCTTTTCAAGAGAAACTACGTAAGAATCATTATTATAAACTTTATCGAAATAGCAAAAAAGGGTCGGAAGACTTTTTTTTTACTTTTATCAAAGAGAAGAGAAGTGGAAATGGAGAAAGATTGGAAAAGAGAGGGAAGACGAAGGTTTTCGAACCAATATTTCACTCTTCGAGAGAAAAGCTATTAAAGTGATGTATGTTGTAAACAACCTAGTCTTCAAAAAATCATTATTTGTCTCGTATCTCTTCGCACATTGCATTTCATCGCGCTTTCTCATTTCATTAGAAAAGACATTGAAAATGCTTAAAGTAAGTAGCTATTGGTGTATCCTTCCACAACTAAATCTTCGTTACTTCATTTTTGATTCAAGGTAATCTCGTCGTCAACGACATTCAAAAGTTTCAGACTTTACTGTTGTTCGTTTCCTTCACTGGTGTCCGAATTCGTCATAACGCTAATCACTGATGACCAGCAGTGAGAGGATTTTCGTTGAATATGGTTTAATTATAGGCCAGACTTTTGCTCTCCTGTTGGACACCGGCTCGTCGAACCTCTGGGTGATCGATGACAGCTGCGACACGGAGGCTTGCGATGGTTATATCGGCAGCATTTATACCAGACGCAAGTTTAACGCAACAGCATCGTCAACGTTCCATACGGAGAACAGCACAATCACTATTCAGTATGGTTCTGGGTGGTGTTATGGACAACTCGCAATGGATACCGTCTCCTTCGCCAGTGAGCATACCGCTTAATTACCGAAATCATCTCAAGCGATATAAGATGTGACAATTCTTGGCTACATGGTAACTCAAATCTTATCTGTAGCTTGTAGTAGTAGCAGTTGACAAAACAGAACTATAACCTCACAGGATATCGTTTATTCACTCCCTGTTGCCATCGTATGATGCAGAGAAAGGAAATGTACCTCCTTTTTCGTTAAATAGTGCAAATTTTAATATAAAGCGTTTCATGAAGGCAGTTTTATGTGGAAAAAAAGGTGCAGTAACGAAAACTTTTAATCTTTGCATTGTAAACTGCGAAAAATGTTTGTAGTTGACTGTCATTGCAAAATCATAAATGCTTCGTCAGCGCAATAAATTTAGCACCTCTCACATCGTGTTTATTCTTGACGAAACCTCTTAGTCGGGTATGCTCTAAGCCACAGCCTGTTCAGACAAACACACTGGTCAGTTTTTACATTTGTGGCAGAAATTTTTGGAAGCAGTAGCTGACAAGGGCAGTGCTAAGAGGTAACTTGAAATGCAAACGCAGCCCTTGCTTCGATCTTACGCCTCGGGTGAAGACGTCTCCCATCACTGTATCCGAATTCGTTTCTGTTAATTTTAAATAAGTAAGGCAAAGTCGATGAGGAGAGCGAGTGTTTCTCAATGGTCAAAGGTGCCCTGGAATACACACGTGGCTGAATGTTCGGCCTATGAAGGCGCTGTGGGCTTACCAAGGTGTTCATTACACCAAGGTCTGCAAATTGCTACCAGAGAATTTATGATAAAAACCACTGTGCATTGATAAGTCTTTTAAGTCATTATGCGGTTCACAGATGAATTCACTCACCTCTGCGACGCCTAGTGGAGTTGAACGCATGTCGCATTGCTAAGGCATTAATTAAACTTGAGGGTGTCACCATTTACTCTTCAATAACCATTACATATCACACAACAGCACACCATTTTAGATTTGACAATCGCACAGCAAGAGTTCCTCGATGCTGAGGATATCGCCGATATTTTTGGCTACATGCCATTTGACGGCATCTTTGGGCTTGCTTGGCCAGCGATTTCTGTGGAAAATGTGAATCCATATAATTCAAAAATAACGCCATTCATAGTAAACGAAGGTAGATCTGAAGAAAAATTGTTTTAGGTCACTCCACCGATGCAGAACCTTCTTCCTACCCTTGACAAACCTCTGTTCACCATCTGGTTGGACAGGAAGGTGGGTTTGCTTTGAGATTACGCTGTAACAGTTAAACAATGATCTTTTTAAGACTACGTAATGCATAAATATATTTTAATTCTTGACCTCAACATTTTTTCTAAATGACTAGGTGAGGAGTGGAACAATTTTTGCAGTTAACTCCTAACCAGTCGATCCGTGTCAAAATTATTTTGTCCAAATTCCAAGATCACCTAGCACGTTCACAATATCTCCAACTTCTAAATTACTGTAAACAGTTTTTAGATGAATAAAATTTAAGTCCTGGAAATGTTCTCTAAGACACCGCTTTATAAGATAAAAGACATACTTGACATCAATTAATGCATAGGAATCCGTCATCCATCGCTATCTATTCGCAGCATCGTAGAGGTGATTGAAGGCAAATTTGGCCAATACAGTATTCCGAAGACCCACTTATGTATTGAATTGATGTTTTAATCGTCCCAAGCCGTAAATTATTGACAAAACGTTTTTCAAATTGACAAAGATTTGTAGATTCTAATGGTTTCCATTCGGCTAGTGAAATTCGCGAAAAGATGAGGTGCTTCAGAGGTGAATTATATTTAACTCATACTGTTAGAAATCTGTGAAACAGTAATAAGTACGATTTATGGAGTGAAATAGTTGTCCTAATACTATTTCCTTATTATTCAGAGTTTTTCTCCACTAGGATATATTTTGAAGAATCGCTTTAAGCTCAATGTAAGCATGGGAGGCAGCGCTGGTCTGATCACCTACGGAGCCATTGACACCACCAACTGTGATCTGAACGTCACATACGTGCCTCTAACATCAAAAACATGCTGGCAGTTCTTGATTGATGGCTTCTCTATTGGGACTTTTTTAGAGGAAAATATGGACGAAGTGGGTGGCAACGAATTCTTTCTGATTCCTCGTATTCACTTCAATAAAACACATATATCACAGCCGGAAAAATAATGTAAAACTAAGCACTTATTCCTATGAAAATCTTCAATTTTGCAGGTTATCTCTGACACGGGTACTTCATGGATCGGAGGACCACTCTACATCATGTACGCAGTGGTCAATCAGACAGATGCACAGTACAATTGGAGGTATGGAATCTACACCGTTGACTGCTCGACAATGATGCACCAACCGGATATGCAGTTCACCATCAATGGTGTGACATACAACATAACATCCGAAGAGTACATACTCGATCTTGAGCTTGGAGGCGGAGAGGTAGGTGTGCCGTCTATAACACAAAAATTTGTGCCAATATGAATTAGGAAAGAGTGGACTCATTGAAGCAATGAAGATAAAAAGTGTTTGAGACCAATTTTGAACTGACTTTAGCAGCCCTGGGCCTCTGGTTCATTTTCGAATCAGAATTAAAATATTGAATTTATTAAAACACTCACACAATCGTAAACAACGATAAAGCATATATTGCTACGTAATCGGCTGTTGAGGAGCTGCATAGATTAGCGAAAGTAAATTTTGTCCGCTGATCAATGCGCTCCTCGCAGTTACGGACTACTACGGCTTTATCTTAACTTTAATTCTAAACATTTTGGCCCCTATTCTTTTAGTTTAATGATTCTCGATTTTAGTGCGCTGTTGCTTTCTTCGATTTCGAATCCGGAGGTTTCGGACCTACCTGGATTCTCGGTGACCCGTTCATTCGCGCCTACTGCAATGTCTACGACATCGGTCAAAGCCGCATCGGCTTCGCCAAAGCCAAGCATTCAGAATCGTAAAACTATTGTTCTTTTTCCAGTAACGTATATGTAGCAAATGTGCTTTGTGTTTTGGTAAAGAATTAAAGTTCGCAGTTGCAAATATTTCGTGCAAATGACGAATTGCTTGAAACATTTTACCTATAGTCGTACACCAACTTTTCGATAAACACTAAGAAGGAAGAAGGCGGATGAAGCTTCGTTGTCATCGTGGTCTAGTCATTTTGCTGTATGTCCATGATCTCGGTTGATTAGTGGGATAACGAAGTGAGAACTTTTTATTTAATCTCTTTAATGCTCCAATTCTTTCTGCTATCTCTCCTTAGCTTAAATTCTTCATGGAAATTATGACTTCTCTGGAAACTTCTTCAATCCAATCTGGGCGGACTATAAAGTAAAATGAAATGGAGCCGTGAACGGATTCTACATGTTATTTCCTAGAAGGAATGCAAAAGAACTATTCCTACAACTTCATTATGACGCCTGTAGAGAACAGACGGTGTGTGCATGTTAAACATGAAAAAGCCATCAATGATGGCAACGGCAAATGGTTAACAACCTCATATCAGCTCAAAAAAGGGAAAATTTGTGACGTGATGCACGTCCATAAACCAAGGTTAATGGAAAATCAGGCCTTAAAAATCAGGGTTAAGCGACAAGGGTGGTGGTGCTGCATCGTTGAGGACACTACTGATAGTGAGCATTGCACTTCGATTATTCACCGCATTTTATGTTACACGCTTAAATATCGGAGCTCTTTAGCACACCTGCTATACGTACGGTGCTTTACTAGCATGAATTTGCTTTTCCCAGTGACTCCCTACCCATTTATTGGCGATCCGAGCGCAGTATAGACTGTCTGCGCAGAAACCTTTCTGCGAAGCAGTGATTTTTTGTTGCAAGCGACTCTTCGTACTGGGAATCTTTCCTCGATTTTGTTGCTTAAAGTGAAACATCTGAAACACCTTTGGTACAATGGATTCATCAGTGACTTGCACCTCACACACCAGGTCCATTGGTCTTCCAACAAGCCTGTTTGCCTGTGCAATTTCAACTTCTCTTCTACTGGACGACCATTGTAGTCCATGCTGCGGTATTTCTTACAAAGCGTTTTATGCAAGAAGTTTAATGGAGACAACTCATAAAAAATATGGAAATATCACATTCTTTACCAAATTTTCTTTACTTTTATTTAACCACAAGGTAAAAAATCCGTATTTTCTTAGATCGTTCAGTTTACACGAGGTTGTTATACAATGTTTGTTCGGTTAATGTTTTAACGTTTCTGTCTTGTTCGAGGCCAATGTGGACATTCGTTGCCCCGTCGAAAAGAATCCATTGAAGTAGAGCATCAATCGTAAAAAAGGGTAGAGAACAGTGCGTTTGAAACCCGCGATTACCCGTACGGCGTGCTCAAGTACTATCCACCACACCAATCGAGGCCTTTGCACTGACTTGGGCTTTTTGCCATGTTTTGTAGATAACTCCGATAGATAGAAAACATGACATCTGGTTGCAGTTGCGTTCATATAGTAATCTGCAATGGAAATAGAAAAGGCATGTGATAACACTGTGATTACGAATGCAGCTCTTCTCAGGTCGGCTCGCTGTCGATTTTCTTCCCTAAGGTCATTGCGGTTGACGGTGATTGCTGATAGCACTGCTAAATTAATAAGCTGGTTAAGCAAAAATCAAGTGCCCTGGTTGGTGCGGTGGTTAGAAGGTCATCCTCCGGTAAGGGTAATCGCGTGGTCGAAACCCAACGAGGATCCTAATTTTGCTCATGTCTTTTCTTCTCCTCTGTACTCCATCCGTGGACAGGGGTTTCGCTTTAGTTGTTTCAGTATATTTCGAAAAGGGAGCTTTTGTTTACAAGAATTGTCTTGCTCTTTGGATCTTACCACGTATTGCTCTCGATTCATTTTCTTGCAACATGATTTATGATAGGGTTATTTCTTACCATTATTAGGGCTTTTAACGTGTGGGTTGAGTGGCTTCTGCTTGAGGATTTTCCTTTCCATCATAGATGTTATTCAATCCTGGTCCTATCAAATTCCTCTGAAGTCTTGATGTAGCCAGACTAGAGCGTTTCAATTTGGATTACACAGTGCGAAGAGTTTTCCCGGGCACGTCTATACCACTTCTTGCCTGAAGAACTTTTCACCTCGTACTGAACAACTTTCTGAACGGTTTTAGGCAAAACACCTTATCAAGAACAAATCTTCGAGCGAAGTATCTTGAAGAAGACAAAAACATTGCCATCCCGATTTTCGCCATTCCCTATCACTCTTTCGTCTTCGTTTATAACAATGCGCTCGTAAACTTTCCTTAGTGTTTACACCGGCTTAAGCGCACATCTCTGTTCAGAGTAAACCTTTTCAACGAAATGCATGCCTATGGTTTCAACATCTTTTTTACCAGCTAAGCGTAACTGTAGATCTTCCAGGTGAAACGCTGAATTTCTGGGCTTTTGCATTTAACGAAATTCCGGAAGCAGTTTGGATAAACAATGTGATTTTTAACTGAGTAGTTCTTGCGTTGTTTAGAAAGCGCCATGTGATTGGCGGTTGGGTGAAAGTCTGGTGAGTATGTTAGACGGGGGAGAGTTTCGGATTCCGATTCTTTATCCTTCGGACAACTAACAACCTAAATTGGACATTTACGATTGAAGAGATATGGATCAAAACCGGATTTGACAATCTTCGTTGTTTACGCGCAGGCATAAACTATGATGAAGAAGAAGTCAAAGCGTTCTATATGGATTTGGAGATGTTATACAGAGAAGACAATACATTCTTCAAAGTTATCATTGAAGATTTCAACGCCAAGATTGGACTAAGAAAAAAGTCTGAAGAACGTCACATTCGGACCTACGGACTAGAATGGAACGAACAGGGTGAGCGGCTATCCGAGTTTATTATGGCGACCGAGACAATCCATGGTAATTCGCAATTCCAGAAGCCCCACCCTCAGCGCTGGACGTGGGAGTCTCCCAGTGGAGAGTACCATAACGAAATAGACCACATCATAGTAAATAGAAGGCTTTCCCTAACCGATGTCGCTGTTGTCCCAAAATTCTACACGGGTTCAGACCATCGTCTCCTTCGTGCAAGATTCTATTTCTCGCGGAAAGGAGAAAGAGCCGATAAATTCGGAAACCGAAGTCCCAGAGCCACCATAAACTAGGACATATTTAAATCGCTAGTCATATGTTGGAAAGATACCGTTCGCGAGAAAATCGACGAAGAATGCGATCGGCTCACTCAACATCAACAACTTCACGCCATCGCTATGAAAGCTGAGAGCTCGAAAGTCATTCTGTCTCCAGAAACACTTGAGGCGATAAGCCAGCGTGGAACCACACGAGCTGCAGGAAACCGCGAACTGACGTCTGAACTTGAAGACAACGCAGACAAGCGATAAAAAAAGATCTTTAATAAAGAGCAGCAGTTATGGTCGAAGCAGCAGAGGCTGGGAAGAGCATTCGCAAAGCCCACCGAAGCTTCGCCAATTCCAAAACCAAGTTGACTACACTCCGATGCACAGACGGAACAGTTACAGCGTCAAAAACGGCAATGGTGAAAATCATTCACGAATACCAGTGGGCATGTCGTACTATCGGTTTTCCCTTCCGAAATCCGACATGCTATTTCGTCGATGAAATGTCGAACAGCACCAGATCTGGACAAGCTAAGATCAGAACACATGAAGAACCTTCCACCAATCCTCGTAAATACACTGGCTCGGCGCTTCACACGTTACCTGTCTGAATACAAGGTCCCTACCAGTGGGAGACCAGCAAAATCGTATTATTGTTTAAGAATGGTGACCTACACGATATCGGTAACAAGCGCCCAATCTGCTTGCCGTCCCTCGTCTACAAACTTTTCACTCGAGTCATCCAAAACAGGATTGACAGAACACTGGACGAAAGGCAGCCATGTGAGCAAAGTCTTTGACTCAACTGAGATAGAAGCAGTCATAGAACCCCTTGATAGTCAGGTAGTCCTTACTCAGTATATAAAGATTTTCGTGGGATTCACAAAAATTTGGCAACCAAGATATCGCCATTCTACAAGAACGTCATGCGAACATTAAAATGGGATAATATAGGAGTGAAAATCGATGGTCGGCAGTTACACCATCCTCGCTTTGCTGATGACATCGTCCTTATAACACCAAGCGTTAGCCAAGCGGGACGTATGCATGACAACTTTGATAAAGCCTGTGGAAAGATTGGTCTTCGACTAAATTTCACAAAAACGATGTTCATGAAGAACGGATTGGTTTCCATGCGCCATTCACGCTCAACGGAACGAATATCTCCGAATGCTAGCCAGTTATATCTATCTTGGTTTGGAAATCAATATGATGAACGACCTAGCTCCAGAGCTGAGTAAAAGAAAACGAGCGACTTGAGGAGCTTTCAAGAGCATCGATGATGTAGAAAAGAGAAAAAAGAACACCCGAATACGTGCCCATCTTTTCGACTCAGCGGTACTTCCTGCCCTAACGTATGCGTCAGAAGCCTGGTCGCTGCGTATGCAGGACGAAAAACCACTCAGCGTTGCTGAACGCGCAGTCGAAAGGACGATGTTAGGAGTATCCCGTTCCACACAAGTAAGGGATGGGACGTCAGCTAGTGTTGTATTGTATTGTGTTTTTCTGTGGAAGTAAATGAATGCCGTTTAAAAACCTCGCGATTGCTGAACCAGGAAACGACGCATTGGACTCATTTTCAGCTTGGGAGGTCCTGCTGGAGAGATGAGTTCTCCGCTGTTCAACGTAGCCCGATACCCAGAAACACCTCCAGGCCACGATGAGGCGGTAATTAGACACTAAATAAAAGTTACAGGAGGAAGAAATAGTAGTGAACAGAATGCAAAAATCTAGGAAACAGATTTTTGCTGCATAATTGCTTGCCAGGAACGGCAAAATCCGCTATTATTTTTGTATTGAGCACTTACATCCTTCGCAAAACCTACAATGACAATCTCACCGTTGGAGAATTTGTCGCTTTCAGATGGAAAAAATGAACAAAAGAAGGACGAACAGATGCATGAAAAGATCCCTGTCGCGAGTAGATGTTTAAAACTTATCTGATATTTATGTGATACAGAACCAAACCAGAAAACAATAAGCAGCTGAAGATATGTGGAGAGAGGGGTCGTAGCTGAGTGACAATATCGCTACTTAGACTTCATCTTAAGGCCTGCACACTGAGGGTTTTGGAGAAGTGTTCACACTATGTTAACCTATCTAAACTTATCTCACTGCTACTGTGCCTCGTTGTGTGAAACCGAAATACTCGTGATGAATACTGTTCGATAAACTATTCATTCACTTGTTCTCGACAAGTGGACAAGACGTTTCTAATGCAATGCTCATTAATTTTGGGAACAACCCTACGTTTTTGTCTGATTGAAAATGGCTATTTTCCGTGCCAGGTTTACCGATTCTTTCCTTTCCTTTTCTCCTGTGCACATATTTTCAACCGTTCGGTATGTGTTTTGATGAGCGCTTTCTTCATGTGTGAAGGATGAGAGGAGAGATAGGAGACTAATCTATTTTACTACTTGGCTAATTATACCATTTTACTATATAGCCACTTTCTGAGAGCTTCGTTTGAATGTTTGAGAATGGAAGCCAGTTCTGGAAGTTCAACTGTTAAACAGACAGTCAGAGTATATAAAATTCACACGGAAAAAACCAACCGAGAACAATATGGTGTCGCAAGCCGAGTAGTAAAAACATACTAGTTCACTACCTCTCCTCTCATCCTTCACACATGAAAAAAGCACTTATCAAAAACATGTACCGTACGGGTAAAAATGTGTGCACAAGAGAAGAGGAAAGGAAGGAATAGCTAAACCTAGCACGAAAAGTAACAATTTCCAATGGTTACGAAGTAGAAGCCACTCGAGTTAGACAATAACGTAGGGTAGTTCAGTAAAATAATGCTTCGGAGGTAAGCAAGATCCTTTTTGAGTTCACCTTCGTATCAAATGAAGTCATGCCATTAAGAGATGCTTAAGAAATAGTGGTCTTGATAATTATGTAACGATTATTAACATCCCACCTTACCTTGCGCCGTCAGTTAGTTCGCAACCGTCTCTATGATCGTTTCTGCAGCTCAGAAAACTGTATGATCTGTCCTAACGGAAGAGACGGGGATTGCATAAGTTCTGGTACAATATACTTCGTGTCGTGGCATGTGGTGAGAAATATATTGAGGAAACGGATCGACCACTTTGTGTCTGCGTAAAACATCTAGATCGGAAAGTCAAAATTTGTCAAGGCACTCCTCTAGGTACACATAGAGCAGAAAAGCACAATGGCGATGATTTTGAAGCGGGCGTCCGGATACTCGCGTAGGAATCAAAAACATCAACGCGCAAGACTCTTGAGGCGTTTTGGATAAATTTAGAAAATAGAAAGATGAACAGGGAAAACGAATGTCTCACTATCACACATGAAATGGCGTCCTATTTCAAAATAATTTTTTCGGCTATCAATGGGTCTCGTTCGCTGTTCCGCATGAACAACACGCGGACAGTACCACTCGCAACAGTACAGTAAGCAAACTTTTTGATCAATATGGCGTCTATTTAAAAGTTTGATCTTCATTTATACTTTAGCTCTTTTTCCACCAAATAATTATTCTTGTATAAAATACATTTAGGTCTGAGGAAGGCGAAATCGTTGAAACGTCAACCATCGACCAACAAGAACAACAGCAACGGCAACGACAAAAACAACAGCGACAGCGAAAACCTATACCAACCTCGCATTGGCTTAACAAAATCAGTTTATAAGATTATATAAATAAATTACAACACAAAAGGAAATTACGGCCATGAATTATGAATCTATCATCTCCACTCACTAAAATGTTGAATAATGGTCATGCATGAGCCCTCTTGGTATCTCAAGATGGCAGTGCTACACCGTTCATAGATGCTCATACTAGGTTTGACACATTTTTGCTATGGCTCCACTAAACCTTTTCTTGTGCAGAAGTGCATATTTTGCTGTAACTTACCGGAACAAAATGTTTTCCTTCTTTAATGTTTTCTTTGCAAATGTTTCCTTCACAAAGGACAAGATGAACGATAAACGCTGGTAGGCTAGAATGTCGTTTCTTATTTCAATATTCTCTTCTTGCCAACGTTTGTGCGAAAGTTTAGGTAACGTGACCTCCAATTCCCGTAATCAACGGGCAATAGAAGACCAGAGTAACACTAGAATCTAATACATAACCAGTTTTCATATTTTACACGATGAAACAATTCCCGTTGGAGGAAAACCACGTCACCGTTCACGATGTTTGCTATCGCAATGAATCATCATGTCAATGTTTAACGACGGTTTGAAATATCGCGACTTCCTACAGTATTAACTAAATCAACATGCATAATATCAGGTGACACTGAACGTATCTGATAGCTCTTAGTGGTATGGAAAATAGCGCGCAACACCTAAACTAAACAATTAATCGCTATATTTCGTACCTTACGTTTAGATCGCTAACTTCGTCCTTGATGGGTCTCTGAAGTTAAAGTGTGTGAATCTTCCTATCATACCCTAGCTAGCTTCAATGAATTACTCCGAAAATTTTTACTTTAACACAACTCGTCTTTCAAGTTTCTGAATTTGAAACTTGAACAGGTATCGAGTAGTCAGCTAAATCGACGTAATCTCGGGAGATATGAATCGTGATAAATCCCATTGTAAAGCGGAAAAAGTTATGAACGTCGTATTCGGTCTAAACCGCAAGAACGTTTTGAAAAAAGCTGTATAAATTGGTAGCAACCTTCTTCTTCTATCTATCGCTTAACCTACAAAGTGATTAACCGACTATGTTGTTATGGGTGACTCATGCGTGCTAAAAGACGCCACAAAAAAAATTTATTTCCTTTCTTGAACAAAAAGATAAATGAATAGTCACATATACAAAATGTAACGCACTGATTAGTGAAACATCGTTTATAAAGACGTACCCGTAGAGATAAATCGCCATCTTCACTTAATGTACCAAAAATGATTACACGTTAGTTTAGCGCAAAATTAAAACGAACTTCTCTCGTCAACAGAATAATTAGTAACGCCTTCTGTAAAATGGTCGACGCCAATAAAAACGGACAAGCCAAATGACAAGCAAAAGTGTAATTTCGCACAATGCTTATAAGCAGTGGATATAATAAGCCCAATATGAATGCAGCATATATAACCAAACCTGCTTCAAGGGCTTATAGTACTACTTCAATACCGCGCTGGATTGTTTCCCAATCCACCTTCTTATAACTACCCTTTGCCTTCACGAATCTACCATCCTCGAAGCTTGCTAAACACATACGGTGACACTTTGAAAGCGAAGGAGTTCGAGCTATAGTAACTCGACCAGGGGCTGGATAACCGCTCGAAATGCTGGATTGGTCTCCATTGAACTGAAAACAACAAGCATAGTGAAATCAAACAACACCAGAAGAAACACAACGAAAACATGAAATACCTCAACAAAAACGTTGTCTAAAATGCAACTTTAAGGAATCAAAACAAATTACTTCTAGAAACTCGATTTTTCCAAACTAAACGTTACAAAGCCTATAGGAGCTGGAACACGTACACCTTGCTCTTCATCAACCAGACTCGATTTCACAGAATTAAGCATAGCATTCAGAAGCACAGTTTGGCTCGAAAAAATCTAAAATATAACAATCCGGTGGATATTATAAAGTGTTTCAAAGGGCAAAAAACTTTCATAGTACAAGAGACCCATACATGAAGTATGTTCATTTTCATTGCTGCAAGGTTTTCCGATTTTCCGGATAGAAAATCATTACGAGACTTTATGTAATCATCATCCGGAAAAGAAAGGAATAATAGATGCTGGTATCCTTTCTTGATTTCTTCCGGAGAACTAAATAATTTTATTGATGATATTGGAAGAAAACGCGCAAAAGTGAATTAAATCAGAGAAGTGAAACAAACTATATAAGTTTCCTCCAGGTACAATCAGGTATCCTTTGCACAAGTAACAAATCATGACGACTGATATCTATTATTGAGATGAACTCCCTATTCACACCGACAAGGACCTAAAAACTTCACGGTATAGCCAAATTTACACTGCATATATCTTCCTCTTCATAAAAACTTCCAAATTAACTCCACTTTTTTGACTACAGTAGTAGACGTAGGTGCCACTTTGTAAGTAATTCCATTGCAGCCCCTAACATTGCCACTACCTTCAATATTTTCAGGTATATATATATATATTTATATATACCTAAGCATTCCTCCATTCCTCCCAATAGTTTACCGCCTTATTGTGGCTGAGAAGTGTTCTTGGGAGTCGGGATGTGATGTACAGCAGGTGGATTCATTCCTCCGGAAGGTCTTGCCAAGCTGAGAAAGAGTCCGGCGTTTCCATCACGAAACCCAAGTAAGAGCGAACCAATACCAAAATCCACCACCGTCCTGGTATCAAACTAGTCGCACGGAGGCAAATCTCCCTCCGATCCACAACGGCGGCAACTGCTTGTGGTGACGACGACCTGGGACAGAAAACTTTGGCCTGACTGACCTCGGAACTCCATGAGACGATAATGGCTTAACCAGCAAATCTCCAAAACAATGGAAATTATACCGCGGTCCGCACAACCAGTGAAGACGGCAATCCATGTATCCAATTAAGTAGTACTTCTCCTCCATAACAATAATTGATGTGGAAAATAAACGCACACGCACGAAAGAAAAAAGTGCATAAAAGATTTATACCGTCTTACTTCGGTATCTGGTGCACCACTGATCAAGTAGTTGAAAACTTTTTTAATGTTAAGAGGATTTATTCCTGGACGTTCGATTAGACCTCGAAAGAACGCAGCGCTGAAAATATAACATAATAATTATAAGATCAAGGGAAATAAAACGCTCAGGACTAGTAAACTACAAATTGGGAGACTACTTAAAAATCTATTCACAATTTTTGTGAGTCTCAAACTGACTCAAACGGCCTTACCCATAACATGGTGTTGATTCTCGAAGTTTAGCCAGATACTGCCGACGAACTTCCTTAACTCCCTCCACTTTAAGTATAACGCTTCCTTTTTTCCACCATTCAATAATACGAATTTCCAATTCACTGTAAGCATTATGATCAGCGAACGAAAAAATTAAAAACAAGCCTGTCAAATCACTTAATAGTGCAAATGTTCCGAAAAAATTAAATACTTCAATAGTAAGTTCAACAATGATATAGGAAATAAAAGGTGACAATCAACTAGGCTCGATCTAACTTAAGCTAGTAGATTATTTACACGAAAAATGTAGTGTTTTATCCTCCGGTATAACAGGTATGCGGTATCACTGTATATAGATATTGAAGAACTCACTTGAATCCACTGAGAGCTTTACCGAGAAGCATTGGCCCACGAATTACGTCAGCCATTCGGACAGGCAACTGGTCATCGATGTGCACTCTCAGCCAATCCACATTATGTATCTTACAATCATAAGCGCTCTCTTCCATGGCAAACCCTAGTCCAGCAAGTTCGGCTGCATTCTCTGGGGACATTGGACATCGATCCAAAAAAAGCGATGAACGAGCATCCGTAAGCAACATATCCAACGCATTTGAACAGAACGTGACAATCTGTTGTAGAACAATAATGAAACTGCATCTAAAAAAAGTAGGTGAGAAAAATAGCTGCAATGCACCTGTTGTTCTCTTGTCTCTGATAATTGGACATTTCTTCTAAAGTAAAGCACCGGCTCATCATCTTTTTTTCTGCTCTCCAACTGTGACGTTGCAAATTTCTCCAATAGTTCTGCCCAATTGCGTCGCACTTCGTAAGGTTTATGATGTGGTTTCAGCTGTACCTCTGAAACTTCATGAAACTTAACATATAGAGCTAGGTAAAAGTGTTAGCTGAACATATTACTGAAAAATGAAAGTGCCATTTCATAAGCTATCACATGTACATGGGAAATGAGAAGAAAAAGGTACATAGCACAATACAATACGATCAAATTATATTTAATTCATCCAATTAAGCATCACCTTAAAACGGGTTTACCGCCTCAACATGGCTGGAGGTGTTCCTGGGTGCCGGGTTGCAATGTTCAGCGGGGGCATTCATTACCGCAGCGGGGTCGCTCAAGCTGAGAAGGAGTCCGACGTTTCCATCAGGAACCCTTACCAAGACAAAATCGGTTCCAGGATCCACCACCGTCCTGGTATCAAATTAGTCGCATATTGGCAATATCCTTGTGTTCCACAATGGCGGCGACTGCCTGTGGTGGTGACGACCTGGGGCAAACTTTGGCTAGGCCGGTGCCGGAACTCCAGGGAACCCCAATACCTAAACCATCGAAACTCCCAAAAATGGAGATTGTGATAGGGTCCGCACAAGCAGTAAAACAGGCTATTCACGTATTCAAGTAATTAATCATCATTCATCAACATGAGCACGCACTTATAAAAATGCTAGTCAAGTTCTTCAAGTTCAAATCTTCTTTTACTTCTATTCATGTTTAAGGACCAAGTGTACAAGAGAATAGATCAACGTTTTGTACTTTATGATCACTAAGAAAGGACAATTTAGCTTGATAGCTGACTTGCTGACATAGAATACTCACATACGGAAGATCCATTAAGTTTAGTGATTTTTGGATGACAGGATTATAAAAAACATGCCTTAAGGAAAGGCTTGCCAGTTCTTTAAATCAAAAAATGTTTCCGCATTTAGCTATAAACCATCATGTATCCTACATTTTTAATCCTATCTAAATAATTCATTTCAATAGATACTTTGTCTTCATCCAACACCTGATGAAGTTTTGAATATGCACGGGGTTTTGCTACTAAGGGGTTATGCCGTCTTCGCGAATGTCGTTAGTGGGTCGAGTTGATTCACCCAAGAATCTTGAGGTAGCTCTACTGAGTACTTTCAGCCTTTCGCCACAGGCGGTTGCCGACCATCGTGGATTGAAGGAAGCTTCAAGGAAGGATAAGAGACTATGATGGCTTGGCGATGCAAGGTATTGAACCAGCGACCACATGCGTGTATTGCACAGCATCTAGCCACTGCGATTCCCTCCCTCCTTGTACATGGAAGTAGAAATCCAAATCCATACAGAAAAAGAAAATCCAAAATATATATTCATTAGAAATAAATACAACCAAAAAATTCCAGATCTTTGTTAGCATAATAAATAAATCAAAACTAAAGTGAATAAACCTATGGAACCAAAACGAATGTACTCATTTTAAACGATGCAGTACCATTACCCGTGTAAAATGTAGGAATGGAATGGAAATCGGAGGTCCAAGCCAATTTCCTCGCTATTATAGCTAACAAGGCACATTTAGCGCAGTGGTTACAGGTGCCCTCTAATATACATTCGGGTACGGCATCATTCCTAGCCTATGCTAAGAAAGTACCCGAGTAACGTGCTAAAATTTTCTCAGCGTTACCAAATTGGGACCAAACTTGTCTCAAAAGATAGAGATATCAACTTGACAATTGACAAGCTGTCCTAAATGATTGTATAGGCTAACTGTACATTAAATCGTACATATAATGCTCACTGAAGTCGTACGAAGTGCTCATCCTTAAGGGATTGACCAACTCCAAACGTATTTTTGAAAGTGCGCTGTTCTAGAGGGCTATTAAACAGAAGGTCTAACCCAGAAATTCTGAAATCATCCATAATGAGAATGCCTCCTTAGAAATTGCTCGGTCAATTCCATACTCGGCACCCATCAACTCAACGATGTATTCCGCTGTAACCGAACGTCCACCAGGTATGTTGAACTGAATACCGGCATCTAAATCCCTTTTACATTCACAGAATCGTAATCATTAGAAAAAGTATGGAAATATCATCAATGGTGGCACTCACAATTGCCATCGTCTTCTTCAGTAGTATCGACACGTACGAATTGTGAGATATACACTCGCATCGGGACTACTTGCTTTTTCTTTCGATAATCAGCTGACTGAGGTATATGACTGAAAGAAAACAAGGACGAACAACAAGCGTAGAACGTGAAAGATTTTGTGAGGTTGTATACTCAATTATGAATTGGTAACTGGTGCTAAATTAAATTTAGAAAAAGGTTCAATCGAGTATAACATACTGCAAAGTATGACTTAGGGGAGATATTGATAGTGGAGGAGTTTTCCTTTGTGACAAACTCGGCGGATCGGCAAATGATACTGCCGGCCTCTGAGCAAATGTAATTTAATGGTTAAGCTCAGCAGAGAAATATTCATTCGATAGAAGCTGTATTAAAGAAGTTAATTCAGAAACAGAACAGAAAAGCCTAAGAATCTTCTGTCTATGCGTCATGTTCTATAAAACATCTACCTCCGACAAGGAAATAGCAGGTAGGTTTACTTGACGACAGTCACTCAGTTTCCTTCTAGTACTTGTAGATGCCACATCCATATTGCTTGTTAGTTTTCCAGTACTTACTGCTGCTGAAAATCGAAACCGTAAACAAGTAGTTTGCGACTACGTGGATAGTACATATGTACCACCACTACCAGCTTTGTGACTAAAATGTTTCAAAGACTATATAACTCCTTACAAAACAAAACATTACTTACTTATTTGGATACTCGGATGGCCAGTCCTCACTAGTGTGCGAGCTCCAGACTAATTTCCACTTTTCGGAGTTTTGCTAGTTTAGCCATAGTAGTTCTCTGGAGTCCCGAGGTCAGCCTGGGCAAAATCTGCCCCATGTTATCACCACTACGGCCAGTCACGATCCTTGTGTAACAGAGGGAGATTTGCCACTATGCGACTAGTTTGACACAATAATGGTGGTGGATCTTGATATTGGTTTACTCTTAGCTAGGTTTCCTGATGTAAGCGCTGGACTCTTTCCGAGTTTGAGAGACTCTGCTTGGAGGATAATCCTCCACCCGCTGACATCACAGCCCGACACCCAGGAACACCTCCCAGGCACGATGAGGCGGTGGTACACAGCTGGTGGAGGGGGAATAAAACACGCTCATCAAGACTGAAGAACCAAAAAATTCTACTATCGCTCTTGAAATGTAGATGAAGCTCGCGGCGTCCATCAATCCTTGAGAGATGCGCCATGCTTTCAACTTCATTAAGCATCGTTGGAGGTGATTGGAGGTGACTGAATGCATGCCTGGCCTTTATAATGACTCGCGGTGACATACCGATGTGTCTAGCCAGTGCTGCTATCCACCTAGACATGTCTGGTGCCATTATATTGACCCCGGAGGGATGGAGGGCTTGGTGAAACTGGGGAGCGGGTATAGATCCCAAGTGTATTGCAGGGCGCCTCATAACGCTGCGCCACACGCGCCCTTGAAATGTCCATGATGAATAATATCTAAATGTTCACTAACCGCCACCAATTGAGATCGGTCTTTTGATAGTGAATTCTTCTGGGCACACTTCATCGTCCGCTACCTTTTGAAGAACCTGAAATAAACAAATCTTTACTAGTTTACTCCTGTAAAAACAACGGAATAACAAAAAGCATATGAGGACGACTTCACCTCGATATGCTTCTCATCCAGAAAAGATTCATTCTTCTTTCTTTCCTTGTCACTTAACTCTGTATTCATGTGAAGTATACGAGACGTTTCCTCTTAAATCAATCGCTCTCGAATGTACAGAAAACGACAATCGTTGGTGCTATTTTCACAATCATCAGCAGGTAAACGAAGCAAGAACAGTAGAGTACGAAAAAAATTAGTCGAGACAGGAAGAATTCCTTCGTGTAAACTAAAAAAAAAACGAGAAATTTGTTTTGACAAATAGCGTTCACTTCCTAACCACCCTTGCGTTGACATCCTGCTTCACGGATAACTAATAAAGGATAAAGTTGTTCAATTCCTGAGAAGTACGCAAGCATTCAACTTCATTAAGCATCGTTTGGAGGTGATTAAATATACATCTGGTCTTTACAATGATTCGGGGTGGCCTACCGATGACCGATCTGCCAGTGCTGCTATTTTCCCAGACAAGTCTCGTATCAATTTGCCGATCCCGGAAAGATGGAAGGCTTGGTGTGCCTGAGGTGCGGGAACGATCCCATATGTACTGTTGAGCGCATCTAACCACTAGGCGACACACGCTTTTCTTTTGAGAAGCCCTTTTATCCACTTCCATGCATACCTGTATTGGTGGGTCTTCGTGCAAGAATGCAGGTCCAGCCCTGAATGTCGATTCGCACAAAATCTGTATGGATTTGAAATAGAACCTCACCAAAAGCAGAAAAAATGAAACAGGCCAGGCAACAGCCGCTTCACCCTGAAGCGCAGTAGAGATCACTGAAAATTCATACTACCCCGACAGTCATGACTACCTATTTGTCTTCATACTACTGCAACTTGAATAAATCTTTAGATTCCATTCAGACACAAGTACTTAGTACTTATTTAGGTTATCGAGATTCAAAGGTTGTAGAAGATTATTTGGGTTAGAAGGCTGGGCTGTACTTATGGTCACGAAGACAGAATTTTATGAAGGCAATATGATTTTGCTAAAATTGTCCTGTATAATTTTCGATAGTGCCATGAAAAAATTGAAATCAGGAGACGTGGAAGCCGAATTAGATGACCTACTGCAAATAAGGACGGTTTGACTGGATACTTACCGATATTGACAGCGCTTCCAAGATGGCTGATGTACACTCGCCCGATATTGATCCAGAGAAAAATGTGTTTCTGATATCTCTTTCACAGCAATATAACGAACATCCCTTAAGGCTCAAACTGCATGTGTCCAACCAACCTAACGAGACGATGAATGCAAAAATACCACGGTTGTGAAGAAAGCCAGGAACACCCGATCTCGCACAGAAATCACCGGCTCTACAATTCCTATCGCTTTCAGAATTGACTTCTACTTCATTCTTTCTCCTAACGAACCCAGTAAATGGGGTTTAGTCAGAAGGCTGCAATCAAGTCACTCACAGACACAAAGAAACCAGTTTGACGTCACGTTAAACAAATAAGGGTCACTTGTACATCAGAAAAATCATACAAGTGTCACGTGGTCATCCGGAAAACATGCTGGGAACAACGAAACTGAAAACTCAAGGCAGAAAAATTGAAACGGTCTTTGCACTCATTTCCATTTCCGAATTATGTAACATCAGTACGAAATAAGATTGAAGGGCCTTACTCCAGATACTCAGCGACCCAATGGGTAGATTAGGAAAAGCGAATAAATTCTTGCGTTCTCAGTGGAACTGATTAGGCTTCAACACCTTCACAAAGTCCACTATGAAATCACATATGGTAGATGTGGCAGTAGGGGACAGATAGCACTGTGGTAGCGACAAAGTTATCACGAGCACAGTGCTGGTTCGATCACAGCCCAGGCTCACCAGGCCTCTCGTTTTCCTGGTATCGAGGAATTGGTCACAGATTTATCCGAAAAAGAATCACTCTCTGCAATCAAATTAGGTACGCTCAAGCTCAAAAACTGAAAAAAGAAGTGACAGTAGAAAACACGTCATTATATAATGAATAGCTCTAAACCAAACGGCGAAGACAGCACCACTTCCAGTGATTTACAATTTTCCTGGCTATTAATACGTACCTTTAACCAAAGGTGCATGCGCCCTTCTAGGGTATTGAAACTACAAGAATTATAAAAATTTCACGAAATAGCTAACATAAAACCAAAGAACAGTTGCTGTGCTCTTCTTTGTTCCACAACGCTACGATTAAGTTCATATTCAGTATTAATAGTCAACAAAAGGAATCTCAGCTTGGAAAACTCTGCTGCGAAGAAAAACCAGAACTGATGCTTAGCTCAGGTTAAGTTGATTACTCAACGAATGAACCAAAGAATAAAATGGACTTACGATGAAAAAAAACCGATAAGCAGAGAACGAAAGTCAAACACTGTGATTTCGAGTGCAGCTTCAGCTTGGCCGTATTGAATTCCAATTTGTACTCCCCAGATCATTTCCGTTGACGAGTGATTACCGATTACCGTTAGTTTTCACCGTAAGGTTAAAAAGGCTGGCCGAGAGAAAGAGGCAAAGCAAGGGTCTAGGTTGCGCAGTGGATAAAACGTGACCTCTAAGAAAGGTAATCACGGATTCGAAGCTCACTCGAAGTTCCAAGTTTTGCTCATATTTCAACATCGTTTTCATTTCACTTCACATAATACCCTCCCATGAAAAAGATAATAGGCAGAAAATAAAGGCTAAACAATCAGGCCAAAGAACACTTACAGTAATCAGAAAAAAGTATTAGTCATTGTAGCATCACTCTCAAAAACCAGAAAAGTGTAGGAAAGTAGATACAATACGTAATAAAAAAAAGTAGGAATAGTTTCGATGCATAAAGATGTTGTTCAGATGGTACTAAGGGACCACACTACCATTCACTATCGGGTCTTTGTTACCTTATATCTGCAAGTATGAATCTATGGAAGGAACTGAATACCAGTTTCCAGGAAAAGCCTTAAGTATGAAATAGACCTAGAATGATGGACGTTCTCAATGTACGACATTGTACCTTTTTTTTATTTTACATGACTCTACCATCATATGTTGTGCAGATCCTGCCTAGCACTTCGCAGTCGATTTGTCTCCTTCTCAGTCATTATCCATGAAGCTCTCTGTATTTTTGTATATTATGGGTCCAACCTGGGACTCGACCTCTTGGATTTTGTCCATAATAAATAGCATCACAATTAGCACGCTATCTGCCCCCTCCCTCCTCCCCCCTTATATTGCAAGAACAATTGCAACAAAAGTTACAATAGAAGAACAGAAGTAGAAAGACCCGGATGGTGTAGTGGTGAAGTGCGCTGCTCCCCGGTAAGGACAACAGCGCGTGTTCGTTCTCCACTGCATACACCTGTGGTCCGGAGTTTTGCAAATATCTCAGCATTTCATAGAAGTAGAAAGAATTATTCAATCAATGCCGAAGTTAATAGAAAGTAGGACTTGGGAGTTACTAAAAGTCACAACGATGTTCTTGAGCAGAAGCAGAAATACCACATTTAAGACGTTTACTTGTAAAACAAATATGAAGAGAATATACAAAAACCGATACAAATAGCAATCCCATTGTACGACAGACAACCCCACTTAAAGTGAATATTCTTATGGCTTAAGAAATAACGCTAGAAAAACCAAATAAAACCACAAGGCGCAAAGACCTGCACCAACTATTAATGTATGACATTGAGGATTGAAAAGAAAAGAATAAAATTCCTTACTGATCATATTCATGTTGGAATTCGATCAAACAACTCATCGGTTTCCGAGGGAGCGTAAAAGGTAACCCAAACAGGTAATGAAACCACGAAGACGTTGGAACGGGGAAAGAAAAACAGTTTCAAAGTGCTAGACAACGGCCAATCAATGAATACAATCTCTATGACAAAGCAAATATCATAAAATCCCACATTCTGAGACGTAAAAGTTTAAGAATGAGCAGTAAATAAATTCGTAAGGAGGACTCAATAAATCGGTTAGCTGGATAGCATCCGAATACCGACGACGACCGACAGAAAAGACGGTCAGAGACGCAGAGTTTGCCAGCGATGAATCACTTATGTCTCAACACGCCCTTCATCTACAGAATATTGTCGCTACCAGAAGGACAAGAAGACAGAATAGTCCTAAGCATAATGTCAACGTGGATTTCTAGTGTCTGTAATCTGAGGGCTACTTTAGCAATATGTATTCTTTCTTTGATGAGCTTACATGGGGTTGATAATGATATTTATTCATTTTCGGCTAACGTTTCGACGTCTTCGTCTTCCTCACAGCCGATGCGTCTCGACGTTGCAGCTTCGCCTTCGTGTCGAGTGAGGTCTTCCTCAGTGAGCCATCTTCTCGAATCTCATTATATCATTATCAACCTCGTGTAAGCTCATCAAAGAAAGAATACATATTGATTATTGATACCGAGGTTCAAGGAAAGTCGGTTTCGAAATATTGCTACTTTAGCACTTTACTAAGTACTGAACTAACTCAAAGCTCAACTGCTGTTGAAAACAAAGTGTTCAGTACCAAAGAACCGGCCACATGAGCGAATAGAGTTCTAAAATACGGGGAGGGAGTACAGAAGCCAATCCAGGGGAAATATTAGAAATCTAGTGTTTATGTCGATCCTCTGCATCGTTCACATCTTTTCTCGTCTTACACAGTTCGAGAAGACGTCGCTCTATTTGGAAGACGTGATCGTCGAGAACATGAGGAGCCTACAACAATGATAAAATTTTTTGATTCGTGTTCGGAAACGTATTGAAGATTAACCTTCCTCAACAAATCAATTTTCATTAACTCATGATCAAGCAAACATAAAATCTATAGAATCACAGCGTTGCTCTTCACTGTACTATTCCAGCAGCATCCTTCATAAACTTTTTGGTTACTAGCTTGCTCTATGTAGGAAAGAGATCAGTGACTTATAACAAAAGAAGCTTCTGATGTTTTTTTTTCAACTTCCTCTTCTAACAGTAATTAAAGGCAAAGGTTAAAGGGTAAAACTCTCGGGGTTGATCAATCCCTGAGGAATGCGCCATGCATTCGACTTCACTATGTATAGTTGGATGCGACTGATTGCATATCTGGCCTTCACAACGACTCGCGGTGGCCTATCGATGTATTGAGCCAGTGCTGCTATCCCAGACAAGCCTGGTACCAATTTGCCGACCCCGTAGAGATGGAAGGCTTGGGGAGCATGGGGCGTGGGGATCGATCCCATATGTATTTCAGGGCACCTCCGAACACTGCGCTACACGCGTAATTAAAGAAGACTGTTACAACCATTGTTGGAAATTCACGTTTAGGTAAGCACACAAGGATTCCAAGAAACAAATCTATTAATAACCTGCTTATGTAAAACTTCCGCTAGTGAAAGAGCGTAATCTATGTTTGATCCTGATGGTCCATGACTACGAATTATCTAAAGAGAAAAATTCAACAAAAAGACTACAACGTAGACCAAGAAAATCTTACAGTTTGACAAATAGCTTCAACATCACTTGGCCCTGCATAATGTAGTTTATCGCCGTGCGATATATAGGCCTGAATACGAAACAATAAATATAAAATTCAACGACGCTCATTCTCAGCAATCAAAATGGTAATCTATTCGGTGTTCGTTTGAGTAAAAACGAACTACAGCAGTTATTAGTAAGTGATGCCACAAATTACTGAATTTCTAAGCTATCGAGTCTGATGGAAGCGTACAACTTACCTCCACCTCGAAAGGTTCCACTGATGAGTCATCTGGTTTGAACATAACCTTCACCAACTAAAAGAATGTTTTCCAATCAACGGTTACGTTACAATCATAAAAAATTGAAATACAAAGTAAAGAACAAAGGCTAATGCGTTCAGGGTTGTTCAATCTCTCAGGTATGCGCCGTGTGTGTACTCCGCTAATTATCGCAGAGGTATGAGGGGATGCGCATATTCGGGATATAGAGTGACTTATTAAATAGTAGATGCACATATACAGCATGACAATGAACCAAGTAAGTGTTCTCGTCTTTTCCAAGTATGGTAACAACCTAGCCACCCTAAATAGATGAGTTTTGGTTAGACTGCAGCGGAAATGATCAGTTTTGTGTTGCATAGCACCTTTAACCACTAGTCTCCTACCTTCTAGCAGTGGTACTTGTGGTCCTGTGCACCGAGTGATTTTGGTAAACAATAAAAAATCCATTCTTCTTGCGCGTGTAAGAATTCTCCAGTTCGTGCTACTCCTCTGAGGAGCTCGTAGACCACGACGTTTTACATCCAACATTTTTATAAAGTTTGGCTATAGGTTTGGTGGTTATCATCATATTGCGCGCTTGACATCCCATGTATCCTAAGGAACCCACTTCAGCCCTTAGGTAGTATGATCCAAGAGTTTTGCTCAGACACATAATGCATTTCATTCATTCCATTTTCAACATTTTGGCGAGCAAGGAAACGTCTCGATTCTTAATAGCCGCCGGATTTCAGGAGTCCACATTCACAGCCAAATTCGCGTAATGATATAGCATTAATCTCTCACTATCGTGTTCCCTAACGTTGGCAGTCTTTACCACCTTGCTTACTCGGTATCCTGTTTTACTAGTCGTAAATTAAAGCCCAGAAAATTTTGGGTCAGGGAGACTGGCACAAAACAGAATTATCTTTGATCTTATCGCTCAAAATTGCTTGCTTTCTCTTGGTCAGCTATGGCGTTACGTTAGTCACCTTATTAACGTCTTGACTCAGATCAGAAGTAAATACTTTCAAAAACACCGTTTTCTATGTGTTCACGTGAAGATAAGTTTTCTAGACGCCTTGTGTTAATCGATTACCATTCGTTCCACCTGAGCAATGCTTGATTGACAACAATGATATTACCAACGAATGCATATGGCGCGCATGGTGTTCTCGGAAAGTAGCTGTAAATAGATTTGGCAACATGGTATCGTATTCCTCCACACTTCTCTGTGTCAATTACATCAATGTATGGCAGTACTTCCAATGGTGTACCACCTCGTGGCTGGGAAGTATTCCTGGGTGGCGGACTGCGATGTACAATTGGAGGATTCATCCCCCAACAAGGTTTCCCAAGCTGAAAATGAGTCCGGCGTTTCTTCAGGAAACCCAGCTAAGAGTAAACCAACACCCGGATCTACCACCGTCTTGGTATCAAACTAGTCGCATGGTGGCCAATCTCCCTCCGATCCAAAAGGACGGTGACTGACTTTGGTGATGATGACTTGGGGAAAACATTAATTAGGCTGTCCTCGGGACTCCAGGGAATCACAATGGCTAAACCAGCAAAGCTCCGGAGAATGGAAATTATGCTGGGGCTCGCACAACCAGTGAAGACAGGCCATCCAAGTATCCAAGTAAATACCTATGGAATAAAAATAATTGCAGTTTTGCGAAACGTACAGAGTAGCCAGCTTTTTCACGCGTATCCAAATATTCTCGAGTAGCATGTACATTCTCTTCAGCCACTTTAAAGGCTATACCCCAGCAAACGGACTGAAAATGAACTCGTACACAGACATGAGGGTAGTATGTACATGACTAATAATTGATGAAAATGCAAGTTGCTTAAATAAAACTGACATTTGCATCTGGTACTAGTGTCACAGTACGACCAGGCTGAAATATAAACAGTCATAAAGAAGAAGAACCAATACCAGGTAATGATTAGAGCCTCGGTTTTTTAAAATACAGAAAAATTCATAGAAATAGGTAATCTCACTCCACTGAGTGCATTCAAGGCACACCTTGGCACAAGAATGTCCCAAGAAGTGGACGTAAAAAAGAAAACTGAACAGGAATTCTTCGACAGCTGGAAATTTCAGTAAGAACTATGAAGTACACTGTATAGTAGCATGGTGGATCAAAAAATTAAAGCTGGGTGCTATTTCCAGATCCCAAATGTACCAACATTGATGGGATTAAAATAAAAAAAATTGGCCGAGGTTTTAAATATGCATAAAACAGATCTGAAAACCTTCTCTGGAGTACCACGATGATCCGGACTCAACTGCCAGAATCTTCTTGCGTATCCACTCACAACACCAGGAATCTTCTGTAAAGCGCAGAAGCCTAGACATGGACCCCATGGTAGTTAGTGAATTATTAGGCACATTTCTTCTAAAAGTAAAGTCAACGAACCTGTGTAAACGGAAAGTTAGGATTCCACAGTAAGGAGCCATATCCAAAAATCCACATTAACGTGATAGAATTAGTACCTAACTAATCTCTATGCACTGAAATGTGCTAATACTTTATGGAATTTAAGAGAAAAAGGGTTAATTAGAAACAAATCTATGTAAGACAAAAGTATGTGAAGGATACGTGTCCAATTTACATTAATCAGACAAATACAGAAGTTTATTACAGAAGAGAACCTTAAGAAATTGATAACGAAGAAATCTGTAACTGTGGACGGAGAGAATTTCTACGGATTTTCATTGCACCAAAGAAATATTATGGAATAACTCTTTGTAGCGTATTCATGGGTGATCAAAATCACATTTGGTGTACACCGCAAACCTATTTCGAACAATGGTTGCTATTACTGTGGCGATCATTGTTGTAGTAGCCATTGCACCCATGCCAGTATCACCACATACCAGGTCTTTTTCCATTGGTGGGATTTCCTGAATACCTTGTTATGATTTCTAAGAATTATTATCTTCATGAAAATAGCTCTGAAAGAGGAATTCTGCTAATCGCCTCGACGGAATGCGGAAAATCGTGAGAAAAGTACGACCTCTGGGTTCGAGAAATTCATAACCTAATAGTGGTATTAGAATAGAAAAGATCTTTTTGATGTCTGCAAGTACCTACAGACCATAATGATCTTTATCTTACTTAACAAAACCCTAACGTTTTGAAGTTTCCACTTAGAGCAAGGAGAGAAACTTCGGCTGCGAATACATTTAATTCAATGCGCATCGCAGCAAATAAGTTTTGAATAGCTAACCAGGAACAAAACATTTCTCCATAATATACCCTGATGAAGAGTCGACATCAACGAAACAAGTGTTACGATAAATGAGCGTATTTATGGATTAAAAGTGGTAATACTAGACAACATACCTTATATCTGAGAAGATCTTTAAGGGTATTTCTATGCTGGAATGTAAGGGGATTCTCCCACATCATTGTGTTCATAGCTGGAGCAAAGTAGAGTGGTTTCCTTGGGTCCCAAGCTCGAACCTGGTATGAATGCGTTTGCTCATTTCATACGAAACAAGGAGAGAGTAAAAGTAAGCTTGTAAACCTACAATGGACGTAACAAGATTGTCGCTAATTCCAACAGCAATTTTTGCAAGACTATTTGCGTCTAAAGGTGCAATAAGCATAGCGTCTGCCCATTTCCGAAGCTCTGAACCAAGCTCGTAACAAAGAGATGTATTCAACAACTATTTCAAAACTGACTTCCCTCTAACCCCAGTATCACTAACCAATATGTATCCCTTCTTTGATAAGCTTACACGAAGTTTACAAGTAATCTTTATTCGGCTGACGTTTTTCGGCAGTCTTCACCTCCACCAGAGCTGATGATCCGAGTCAATGGTCAACAGTTGTTCGTCTTCTCAACGTGCAAGACGTCGAAACTTTCCCCGAATAAAGATTACTTATCAACCTTGTGTAAGCTTATCAAATAAAGAATACATATTCACCCACTGAATGAAGATCAGATAAGACATTTGGCAAAAGGATATACCTATGTGCAAAACGGGATCACCACGACCTCGCCACATTGACCATTCATCACGGTCCTCATAAATAATCTCATCTATATCGAAATCCTGAGTATCCAAAAGAACCATAGCTGATTTTGTACTGGCTATCTAAATATCCTTATCCAGAAAAGGAAGGTCAGAAAGGAATGGTGTTAGTGAAACCTATGTTGAAAACGTGGGCTCCTGCAAATTTGCTTAAAAGAGGGACCTGTAGAGAGAAACATATCCCACCTTTATTAGTAGTTTATTCTCAGGACAACTCTCATATAACTTTTGAATCAGCTCTTCCAACTTGATAACCGCAACACTTCCTGTCACTCCAATAAGGAGATGAAATTTTCCGCCACTCCTCTGAATCACGTGTGACCTAGTGAACGGAGGTCGACAACCAAACTCCTAAATGATAACGGTAAAAAATCACTATCCAAACAGATAACATGGGAATGGAACTCAATATAACATAAGATCCACAAGGTAAAATCTACATGAGTGATCTATAACTCATACCCATGATAAGACATTCAAAGAATCTCCACCGTTGACGTGACGTTTGAGTCAAAATGGCAGAAAGAACTAAACCTAATGGTAGCTTGAACACATGAATAAAAAGTATGAGCGTTTAGAAAGAGGAAAGTAGAAGAAAGATATGTGAACACTTCACAATTAACTTGGTTACAAACTCACACCTTTGCTGACATCTCTTTCTCACCAACATCAGTATCATTGTCACGACTCTTTTTGGTAAGAGGTTCAAAGACCTGTGAAACGAACGATGTTTTAGGTATAAGTTTGCCACCAAAACTTCTTGCGATAACAACGAAGCAAGTCTCTGATTCTATATGGCTTGAACGTCTTCATAAAGAACATTGAAGGGCACTAACAGTTTTCGTCTGACTGAAAATTCTGCTAACTGTAAGAAATTTATCGTTGGACTGCTGAGATTGCCACGTCAAGGCGTTGTTATCATAAAGTTTCTTCCAAATTTTGGACCACGTTCCATCTAATCGGTGCGAATTATGGCACTCTTTTACTTTTAGGTAGGCTAATGGAAGGAAACCTCCCAACGGTTTACCGCCTCATTCCGACTGAAAGGTGTTCCTGGGAGTCGGACTGCGGTGTAGAACGGGTGGTTGATCCTCTCAGCAGGGCAACCCAAGCTAAGAAAGAGTCCGGGGTTTCCATCAGAAAGCCCTGCTGAGGTTAAACAAATACAAAGATCCACCACCGACCTGGTATCAAAGTAATCGCATAGTGGCAAATCTCCCTCTGATCAACAAAGGCGGTGACCGCCTTCGGTGGTGACGACTTGTAGACTTTGGCTGGGCTGTCCTCGGGAAACCAGAGAGCAACAGTGATTAAACCAGTAATACTCAAAAAAAAGAATGCAAATAATGTTTAAGCCCGCAGTACCAGTGAGGAAGAACCATCTAAGTACTCAAGCAATAGGAGGTAATGTCAAATTCTTTCGTGGCAGAACATCGGAAAGCTAATATAGTGGATCAAATCAACTATTGTTATTGTAAGATACAGAATCATCTACCTCATCCTGATTGCTATTGGATTCCATGAAGCTATGTTTCGAAGATTTAGCCTTTCGTAGAATCAACTTTCCTGAAACTATCGCACATTAGAGATAGCGATAAAAAAACGTGAAATATAGACAATAAGTGGTTGGGGTTCCCATAAACTTCATGATTTCATAACATTCCAGCTTCAAATAACTGACAAAACAAGGCTATAGAATCCGTTGTTAGGTTACCCCACATTCCTACGGAAATTGAAGTATACGTCATACGATGTCTTAGCTTCACAATTTAGAACGCAACTTATGCATTCACCACAGTTCTCCACATAATGTAAAAAAGAAACTTCAACAGGTATCGAACGGCCTTGGTAGATTCATAAGCATCTCCTTCGATATTCACTGATATCCATAATGGAGAAATCCACAAGAACTTTATTATAGACGCCACATCGCGCTTCTCATGTTCACAAATGTAAATGCAGTTAAGTAAACAGAAAGCAAAAACTAGAGGCTGAAGGCTGCCTTCAACCAATAAGATCTACATCTGCCATGGACGATTACTGAAACGTTACCCACGAAGAAAGAAGTTCGCCATCATATTTTGACCAGATATGATGGAAATGGACTGTGACACTCAGTATCAAGAACGATCTCCTAAATTCCTGGAAGCTTGTGTGGGCCATCCTTACTCTGAGTTTCAGCAAACCACTCGTCTCGCGTTCTTCTTAGAGGAGACCATTCATGGCAACCTTCGCTGCCATAAATAGGTCATCTATAACTTGTATCCAAGTTAAAATGAGCTATAAACAACTCCATTTACTTCGAAAGCGTCCTACCAGGTGTACCCACACATCTCCTTGAGACTAACCGACCTCTACGCCCTGTCGTATACCATACTCATCACATATCTTTAACACACCAGTAGTCCATGTATGACTCGCATTAAATCTACGATGTACACCACTACGAAGAAGGATAATTCAGCGAAGGTCCTAATTGCGACCTCCAGGTTGGTGCTGCATGCAGATTGTGGTTCAGAACATATCATCTTCCTTACAGATTGCGGACAGTTTGGATTCAATTTTGATCACGACTCTGCTTCCAGAACTTGATGAGTTGAAACAATGCGTCTATAGACATAGCCCTTTCAGTTCTGCTGGCTTCTCTAACATCCGAACGTCATCCATATTGCTCTCAAATTTATTACAGTTCGTCCAATATTTACCATGACACTTCATGCTATCCATACTTTGTTCTTTCACTCACTTCATTCACTCTTCAAACGCCAACTGTTGTCCTGAGTGGTATAAGACAACAACGCAATTCACAAAACAATGGCTTGACAAGGGTCAAACTTCAATCTGGGTAGTGAGTTGATGAAACTACGGCATGCTATATTTAGAGAAGATTAGAACCTATACCACTGCCCATTACCAACTATAGATCTGAAATTTCCACCGTCTATTCCATCTAGAAAAGATGCTTCATCAACTCATTCCCTAAGAGAAGGGGTGGTACAAGGCGGACACCAAGCCTATTCTGCATGCTGAAAATGTAACGAGGTGAAAAGAGACAAAGCGCTAACTTAAACGTTCAATATATACGAAGAACTTCATTGGAAAATGTTTATGCGATTTCTAACAAAGGGTAACATCATCTTCAAATTCTAATTAATGGTCCACGAGCACATAATAAAATATTTAAAGGTTTTAAATACTACACTTGGGTTACATAACGCATTGTCGTCGCTAACAAAGTTGTCCGGATATTGGAGTACTGAGTTCCACTGCAAGTTGATCAACAATTGCCAGATTATAACTACAGTGTAGACAGAAAATACTACAGTCGACAAGACATACGTGAAGCGGTTAAGAGTATAACTGAATTTGGAAGCGACCCATCGTGAAATATATCTGTATCAGTTGCCCTCGTCAATTCCAACACAGAATGTTTGAACTTTGCGACCCCATTGGTTGATGTTTCTATTTTTAAAAGTAAGAAACAATAAGTAAGACAAATAGCGCTGTATCAGCTGTAGAAAGTACAATAACGGGTAAATATTGTGGAAGTCCTGTTGTACTGGGGACAATTACAATTACAAACGAGACCTAAGATGTCTTCACATGAATGAAACTGTGTTTAAAATCGAAACAGCACCCGCTCGTCCAATATAAATGAAAAGGGAAGATAATCGTACAGATTATGGTACAGCAGAAATTGTTAAACGAGAGTTCTCAGAACTGATAGTTGTACTGAAGTAAAACGGAAAAGAATTACACCATTTCGAATGAGAAAACAGCGAGCACCGACCTGCCGTGTTAGTCATGTTTGATTCCTCTCTTCGTTAAAACCTGATGCACAACAGAAAATCAGTTAAAATCAATAGAAATGCAGAAAACATTGTAATAGAAGAAAAAAAGCAAAAACTAAGAAAAATCTGGAAAATACAGGAAATTCCTTATTCACGTGCAGCATACTATCTATGCTCAAAACACCGTTATCCTTATCACACTTTTATTTTTATTGCCAAACTTATGAAGAAGTCCTATAGCATACTCCTCCCAACCGCTTACAACCTCACCGTGGCTGAGAGATGTTCCCAGGTGTCGGTCTGCGTTGTACAGCGAGGGGATTCATCTCCCGAGCAGGGTCTCCCAAGCTGAGGAATCCGGTGTTTCCATTAGGAAACATAGCTCAGAGTAAACCAATACTAAGAACCACCATCGTCCTGATATCAAAACTAGTCGCACGGTGGTAAATCTCCCTCTGATCTACAAGGTCGGCGACTGCCTGTAGCGACCTGGGTCAGACTCACTTTCGCTAGACTGACCGCGGGACTCCAGGTAACCACAATGGCTATACCAGCAAAACCCCGAAAAAAAATGGAAGTTATGTTCGGACCCACACAACCAATGAAGAAGGACCATCCAAGCATCCAAGTATCCTACAGCATACTAAATCATTATTTGCTTCCTACTTAATTAAATCGAGTATATTGCAGACCGACTACTTAAATTAAATTTCAAGACAAATGCATTTGATATTAAGATTTCCCACAAAATTCATTTTACCAGAAAGTTTCGGCTATACGAAAGATTTGGGCGCGTGTAGAGCAGTGGTCGGAGGCGCCATGCAACATACACGTGGAATCGATCCCAAGGCCATGGCCTACCCCGCCTTCCATCCCTACGGGGTCAGCAAATTCGTAGCAAACTTGTCTGGGATGATAGCACCACTGGTTTGATACATCGACGGGCCACTGTGGGTCACTGTATAGGGTAGATACGCATTCAATCATCTCCAACGATGCTTAATGAAGTTGAATGCATGGCACATAACTCAGGGAACGATTAACGCCGAGAGCTTTACCCTTTACCCTTTCTGTGAAAAATGTAGACAAAAATCTAGAAAAAAAAATAACACGAAGATTGAAAACATTAAGTAGCACTAGACATTACATAAAGCACTTTGTTTCATTTCCAAAGTCCCTTACTCATTGCTAACACCGAAACAAGAAATTGCTCGGAAAAGTAACCATATAATATACACGTGTTTGACAGTCATGGAATCAAACAGAGCCACATACCTGGTCAGCTAAGGAACGGAGCATGTGTACAGGACCATGACCTGGTGACGGATTTCGTTGTGCTAATTCTCGTAAAACAAACTCGATACTCATTTCGTTATCTTCCGACCAACCTGGCTTAGAGGTCTCCTCCGTTACCACGTCTGTGAATTCTTAGTTCACTTTCAGGTATTCAAGCAATGTAAAGGCAAGACAACAGTCGAAATCGGTTTTCACCATTAATAGCCGTTAACATCTGAGCCTTCCATGTTTCCTCCGAAGCCACTTTTTCCTTATCAATGGATGGAGCAGCTTCAAAACACACAACAATCATTGTCATATTATCTCGTGATCCTTTACTTAAACATGCATCAAGCACCTGAAAAGCAAAAGAAAAAGTGAAATCCTTCTAAACATCTGCTAACAGAAAAGCTCAGAAATATCTGGAAGGAAAAGAAAAACCAAGAAGCTTTACTCACATCATTGCAGACCTGATTCAAGTCATCACAAACATGAAGCCTACTTTCAACAAACCGACAAAGTTCTTCATTCTCCATCACGTCATAAATTCCATCACAGGCGACCACAAGGAACTCGTCTTTCTCCTGGAATAAACGATGACGACATATACGTCTAGAATCCATTCTCCGTTCTCGGATACATGTAATGTCAACCAAGATTACGTAGTTTTCTCGTGATACTGTTGACTTTGCTCTTCAGGGCTGTTCAAAGATCTTTTACAAAAACTTAAGTGGCGCATCAAACAACAAGCAATATACCATTATTAAATAGAGAAAATTTGGACTTTCAGCCATCATTGTAGGCCTCAACTATGGATTACCATAAGGGTATTGTGGGTAAAGAGAAAATAAAATCAGGAATAACTAAAGATTAAGTGACAAATACTTGATTCTGAATATCTTATTTGATTTAAGAAACCAAAAAAGGCAACTAGTGTTAGCAGGAACACAATTTATAAGGAAAACGAAAGCAACACACAAAATCTCGGTGTAAAAGCTTAACAATCACCTTTTGCCTCTCCAGTACGTAAACATCTGGCTCAGGAGACACTAGCTGTTTGTTTGGTTCAAGTCCCGGAACGTTCTTGTATTCAAAATCACCTAGAGCTCTGAAAATGAGTTAGAGTGAATTTCGTTCAATTCACACAACAGCAAATTAGAATAAGTAAGACAGACTTGATAATTGCTCGTACAGTTAGAAAACATCACTCTACTGTACCTGCTAACAGCGAGACTACCATTTATCCTTTGGATCATGACAGATCCTCCAGCACCAATAATCCTCTCTCGTTCTTTGTCGTTGTACGGCTGAAGTGAAATATAAAAACTATAAGTGTATATAAAACTATCAGCTACGTATGCCTAAGAGAACAAATACCCAAGCTTTGCAAGCCAGCCACAAACCTTATGGTCTTCCGTTCCAAAAGAACCCTCGTCTTTACGAGAAACAACAGCACGAGAATCTCCTAAACAGTGTCTCAAATAAACGCTTCAATGGTAAAACAGCCGCAATATCGTGTTTTAAATAAAGCTGACGTTTTAAATGCTACAAAATATAGTTCAAAACCTCAAACACAAGGATGTCCTTGTTTTTGAAGGCAATTTTCATTCATTCTAGGAATGGCTGACCAATACCATAGCGCCTCGATTTCCTGACAAGTTCACACCGGGTTTGTAAAAGTTAATGAATTTCAGAGACATATTTTTTATAATAGTTTCGAAAAATTGCTACACACTCTCGTGATCAGAAATGGTTACGACGGATAGCAAGACGGGCACAGTTCCGTCAATCAAAATAAAGGAGGAAATGCATTTTACAATTAAAGTTTAAGGTTAATTCTGAATCAATGGAGCTCGGAAATCCTTCTTTCGCTTTTTCTCATCAGAGCTCGAATTTCGAACCACGAAGATGTTGGAGAAACAGAACAGGACGCGACAACCTTTTCGAAAGTATCGTTAGTCGTTATCATACCTTGAAAAAAAAGATGGTCCCCATTTATTGGCAACGATTTGCAGATTCTTATAACTTCTGTAATAATTAGTAAAATCTATTATAAGTAGAGATTTTTGTTTAAAGTTTAAAAGTGCAACTAGTTTGTGGCGTGTACAAGTCACAGGCACTTAACTTCAAACAATGACGGACCATGTAAATTGACGATATTCTTGTTTCTTGCAAAGTGGCTGCGGACAACATGAGTGCAAATGGATAACACTGCCGGACAAAGCTGGAGAGCTAGCACGGAGTTTCAAGAAAAGTTTTAAAAAAAGATTCAATACGTCGATATGGGACAGAAGTAAGCAGTGCTTCTAAAATGTAAGCGTAGAACAGTGGACAGCTGCATTTGGCTTCGCATTGAGGCCACAGACTACGTCCTACGAGTGCTGTCAGGACACTTCACATGTCCTGCGCAAATACTTTCTAACATTTTGATAAGCGCAGCACTGTACTTTAAATTTGATAATCGATACTGTAATCTGTGATTTCCACACCTCATTCACGTGATACTAAATTCTTATAACATCAATCTCACCACACAGCTTTTGATAAACCTGAGCGTTCCTTCATGTTACAAAATCCAGGTTTATAAATTGCATCAGGAAGAACAGTGAAGTCAACACGAATCTAGATATTCCTTGCCTTTGTCAAAACTCTTCTTATAAGCTTCCTAAACCAGGTTTCTTCAAAAAACCTCTGGAATTAAGTCGTTAATTAAGTCGATGTACCAGACCAGAAGAAACAAACAGGTACCGGGGATATTGGTCCCACTGAGCGTAAATGATGCACTAGAAACGGACAGGCTCTTAATAAACACAGTCTTTTGGAAATCCAGTAAAAAAAACCTAATCTTCCATATGAACAACCAAAATCGGTGAGCATTTGTTCAATCTGAAGGTGAGCAAAGCTACTTTATTAATGAAGAGTGGTCGCAGTTCTTTGTTTAAAATTCGAATCTGGACTTGCAAGGTCGTTGGATACGACTCTTCAATAATGATATAAAATATCAAACTTTGGAAACGTAGAGAATATTCTCTATTTCACAATATATTTAGACCTTTGTACAGATCGTTGTTATAAGAAGTTGTCACGCCTACTATATTACTTACAAAATTAGTAGACGAACGATATGTGGATTGAGAAAGGCAAAGATTAGCACATATTTCAAAATATGTTGGAAACCCCTTACAATACCACAACTCATGAATTCTCTTCAAGTGTCATAGAACTGAATTCCTGGACTCAACCTCTAACCACAGATCGTTTGTTCGATCTGCGTGCCCGACACAATCCACATAAGCGTAAGCACATCTTTGCACGCATTAAAGCATAACTCTGCATCAGTTCCTACCTTGCCGGAAAGCAATACCAACCAAAATCAAGTGTCTAGGGCTAGTTGACTGCAACAGAGCAAGCATTCTATACAAGTAGAAATCAAAGTGGCTCGTTAGACTAGGCAACAAGGTGAGAAGTACAAATTTTCAAGAGGTAATTCCCAAATTCTCACGTTGCACCTGAACACGCGCGTGTGAAGAAGTGTCAGTTAAGTACCTAAGCAAGTAACTTCCTAAAGCATGCATCTCTCTCATTCGATTTCATTTACGCCAGTTGATGCAAGGTTACGCCCGCGAGTTGTACATTTAAATAGTTTCACGCACAAACAAACAAATCATATATTGGGTCGCTTCTTAAACTCAATCCCCTGTTCGAACTGTGGGAAGATGTGGTAAACTATTCACATATTTCCATAACCACATTTAGTGAAAATAAGAAACCTATTCCCCCTATCCCACCCGTCCCCAAGTAATATTAACCTGGAGTTTTAATTAGATTCTGGTCGTCAGACAAAGGATTCATACCACAAAAAGACTGGTCAATAGTTCAAGCTAGAGGTTTTCCTCGAGTACCTCATGTTTTTCGAAAGCCTTATATCGAGTAGAAAAGTTAGTACTAATAAGTTTTCAGCGAATGCCGATAGTTTCTACCAAAGATGACTGAACAACAGTAAGAAATATGCAAACATTTTTTCCGTTGTTCTGCTGTCTTACAAGGAACGTAGGCAAGATTTGTAGGTGTACACCTACCAAGATTGGCAATAATAATATGTGTTGGAGTTATCATGGCACACACTGCGGTTGAGCCACTGCGATCCTGTAAATAACATAAATTACAAATACGATGCGTATTTTGCTCCTTCATATTATGGTTCAAGACTAACCGAGTTTAACCTTGTACGGATATTTTCATCTAAGCTAAGAAAACCAGCTTTAATTCCGTCTTCAAGGAGGTTGATAGATTTTTCACAGAGGACACCACCATTCGCTTTTAGCTCTTCCGTGACCTTAATTTGATGTATACAATAAATAGAACAATAGAATACTAGTAAAGTAATCCATGAAACATACTTTTCCAAATTGTGGGGTGTCCATAAGACTTTTCATTATGTTTTCAGCAGCATCATCGGCGGCAACATTACCAGCATGGCCATCAAATACTGCGAAAAAAGACCAGTCTTTGTACGGCTCCCGATCTGCCATTGACACCTTGGAAGTAATACCAGATTTAAACGTAGGATATACACTGGTCGGCGAAATTCAATCTACTTACTTCAACTACATGGGCGTCTTCCATGTCCACCCTCCAACCTTGCATACTAGCCATGGCGTAACGGAGACCCTGAAAAACACCTCGAATGAGGTGAGAGACGTTCAAAAAAAGCGAAGTTTACTTATTATATAATATCTGATTGTAACTCTTTAATATAACTAAAGTCTTAAATCTACTTGCATTCTTTGGAGTCTTTATAGTAAAGAGGACTTCCGAAAACCAGCACTATTAACAGATTACTAAATGCTTTCCTGATCAGCAAACATGGGGTTGGAGCCTTTACGAGAAGAATTTCGGCCGCAAAACTCTCGCAGTATTCTGGATCAATTCCAAGAATCCGAAAATCTCAAACAGTATTTAAGGCTGATATTTTAACGTGAGAGAAGCGAAAGACACACTACCCATATATGTAAACCCTGTGCAGTTGTGGTCTCCACGTAAAATACCTTGTGGAACATTCACAGAAAGTGGTAAGCGCATAAAAAGGTAATTTTGTTTTCAATGAGTTTGAAACCTTGACTTAACATCTTCTCTACTTTGGTTATGGAGATGCTTGGCTGTGTTGACTGCAATCAACTTGACTTTTACAGGTTCCAAAGAAGACAAAACTTCCCTAAACTTCAGATTTTTGTAAACAAAGAACGAAGTAGCACCTTCGTGCTTTCTCACCAGGAAAATTGCATAATTTCATCAATCCCGCATCTCCTGCATATCGTTTACAAAAAGTATTAGTATAAATCGAAATAGAACTATTTTTTATTTACTGCCGATTCAATTTCCATGGCAGGGTATGATGAGAAATGTAACCATAATGATGTTGAGATATTTCCAAAACTCCGGACCGCGGTTGTATGCAGTAGGGATCGAACACGGTATTACCCTTTTCAGCGGCTAACGCGCTCACCACCACACCATGCGTGTCCTTCGTCTGTGGTATAAATCAGAAGTATTAGTATTTACACATGAGTGAATGGAAAGTAACAATAAATAAGCCACTGTTTTGCGCAACATTTACTGACCAATAATTATGGAATCAGAAGTAAATATTGCATAGCTATTAAATGTTATATTGCAAAGCTACTAAAGCTAGAGTTTCCTCATAAGAAAAGCTTCGCAATATCACTACTTGTCGGTGACCACCCTTTGGTTAGGGACTCCGAAGGGGTTAATTCTAATCGTTTCTAAGTGGCCGTCGGTAGCGTAGACAGAGCAAGAGCGAGCTTGAAATCGCTAAATATATGTACTGTACGTCGATTTACTTAAACATCTGCAGCCGACACAGGATGGTAAACAAGTGAGTTTACTAGCCTCTCTAAGGAAAAACCAAGTTTTGAGAACTAATTGTTGTTATTTTCTTGCCGAAAAAACTTAACCTAAGGGTCCTAATAAGAAAAATGTGCTATTCATCTCTCTCCCGGGGAATTCACATTGGGTAGCTTTCGGGGCAGACAGAAAGGAATAGAGAATCTACCGACGGCCACTAAAGCCTGCCGACAGTTAGGGGAACATAAATGATACCACTGATTGTAGCATGCTTGGTATACAAGACAGGCAACTACGCTTACATAAAAGTTAATCAAATGTAATCCTAACGTAACTAAGAAAATCTCCTAAATCCTGCAAGAGTTGGATTACTGCAATGATTATTTAGCGGCAGATGAGGAGGCTTGCTCCATTTTGAAAATGAATACCTTAAAATAACAGAAATAAAACAAAGTGGTAATCTAATTCTCCTGTTACCCACATTGCCCTCTCCAGAGCAATTTGTCTTGGCTGTTTTTGGTTTGTCGAGGAACGCTCCCATTTGAACTCTATTCCCTTCAGTTATTTCCACCAATCCAGACGCTGTCAAACGCCACGTGCGAAGTTCAGGACGTGGACAGAGGCTAATCACTGCAAGTGGTTGATCTACTTTTGCAGCTTCAGACTGAAGCGATGCGCCTAGACAAGATGACATACCATATTATCTGAAAAACATAAGATAACATTATGCTCGACGGAAGTCAACAAAATAAATGAGCTATCATCTTCAGAGCACAAGAAATGCATAGACAAAACAGGCCGAAAATACCAATTACAATCTATTTTATAAACGAGAAAAATGTGATTACCAAAGTGCACAGACAAACGTGAGGCGCGTGTAGCTCAATGGTAGGCGGGCACCCTGCAATACACATGAGATCGCTCCCCGCTCCCCAAGCCCACCATACCTCCCATCCTTCCAGGGTCTACAGCAGCACTGGCCGGATACATCGGTAGGCTAGCGCGAATCATTGTAAAACCCAGATATGTATTCAGTCACCTTCAATGATGCTTAATGAAGTCGAATGCATAGCTCATCCCTCAGAGATTGTTCAACGCCGAAAGTTTTTTGTATGTAAAAACTAGAGCTTTTATGTATAAGCTTAAACTTTTCAGACAAATATGTGAGAACGAACACATAATCAGCGAGTTAATTGGTTAAGAAACAGGAAAGTATACAAAATAAAATTGACCAATTTAACTAGATTGATATGGAAAGCATTGTTTTATAGCAAAGTGTCTTGGTATGCGAACACAGAACTTACTGTGCATTTTTTACTGCACTACTGAATAAATAGTTATAGCCTTTTTGTTCGAATAGCTGGACTAATAGACCAGATTATCCTACTGGCTCTAGTTTTCACCTTACTTGGTGCATTTTATGTTGAAAGAAATGGGAGTTCCAATCTGGACAAGTTGGGTAGAGGGAATGGTAGCGAAGTGGTTAACGAAGCAGCCCACCAGGAAGCGAGGCACCGACTCAAGCTCACTCCACCGCTTTTGCCAAATCCACGTGGTAGCGCTTTAGCTTGGCAATCTCCAAGATTGTAAGGAGTATCAACTTGGACAGTATTCTACGACGTTCATAAAGAAGGCAAAATTCTCTGGAAACAACAAGCGAAATGTTCGAAGACCATTGGACGATACGTAAAATGTAATGACGGGTTATGTAAGTGTAAAAAGAAGTCTGAACAAGTTTAATAGCAAAAATACAGGTGAAGTTACTCTCCACTCAACATGAAGAGTATAGCTGATTGCTGTCCTTAATTCATCCCCATAATCGATACATTGCAGATGGTATATTGTGGAATAGCAATTTATTTTCCACAACTTTTACTTAGTACTTAAGAGAATGGCACATGGACGAACTAAAAAATTGTTTCATTTTTAGGACAGCTTCTCAAAACCCACCCTTTTCGTTCACTTCTGAACATACCCAATGTTGATGCACTGCTGGTATGACGAAGTACAGTGTAGAAGTAAGACTACGTCACCTTGTGTATGAAATTTTCCTTCCATTTCAATTCCCAGCATCAATCTTCAAGAATCACTTCACGTGTACTACGTTGGAAACTAGTTACAAACATTACCATTTCAACCAAAAATCTGTTTAAAAAAAACAGTTAAAAGCAGCCTAATTCGTACTCGATATAGCGAATTCCACCTCTTCTAGTCCCAATAAAAATCTAACCCTGGGCTTATCCAAGGTGGCTGAGAAGAGTTTGAAAGTGTCGGCGGAAAAACAACGACAACGTTGTCGTTGTAATCAGGCAAATTTAGGACCATTTTCAAAACATGTGGCGAAGTAACTATCAGATTCCTAGCAAAACGCTCACCTTAGAAAAGTAAAATAGAATCCCTAACAGAGGTAAAAATCGTTTTTTTTTCACCGGCTGCTCAAGTCAGAAATGAGATTCGCGGTTAGTGCAGTAACCGATCCAATAGCGATAATGTAAGCTTCGATTCTTATCGTCTTGCTTATGATAGAAATTGCCAGCCTGGATTATTCAACGATTTCGTCTCAAATCGGTTCTCGACAAGAACGCTCTATGGCACCTTCTGGGATTCGATTACGCGGACAAACGCACTATCATAAGCATCTGCAAAGAGAACCACTGTTGATTACCACTAGGTGTAAAAATAGCGAACTAATCTCGACGACAAAAAGTCAGTATCGATCAGAAATCGTAAATGTGATCATACTTTTCCCCCTACTCAAACGACAATCAATTGAAAAACTCAATGTTTCGAAGGTTCAATTACATGTGTTAGTACAACGCTTCGTCATAAATGCTTTTTTTTCTTTTGATAATACCAGAGACTTCTAGATTGAAATAGAACAAGTTAATACTTAATTTACAAAATTGGCTCGTTAAACGGAGAAGGAAAGGACCCTTCAAAGAGTGAAAGTGGTTGCTGAAAGAAGGAAGTGTTTACGTCTAACAACGTCGTTTGTTTAAGTAAGTTATTAAGGTATGACCCTAAAAGCAACATGTAGAATGTAAGTAAGTCACAAATTACAATTTAAGAAACGAGAAAGATGGTTACTGATTGAATATACATGCAAAGATTTCCTTAGAAAGGAGAAACAAGGTACTGCTCTAATAGTATGGATGAATTACCCAAATGAATTACGAACCTAAGATGATATTGATCGTTACTTTTATGGAGTATAAGAAAAACTTAGCGACTTAAGAACGGTGTTATTGTAAATACTACTGTATATGAGGGAAAATTACTCTAAAATTACAAACCGAGACGTAATCTTACGAGCCGAGAGAGAGGAAGAGGGAAAGAGACAGTAGGTGACTGGTTACTGAATAAAATTAAAAAGAAGCCTTTGTTAAAAGTTTCTATGAAGTAACCCTAAAGCCAAATGACGTAGATAAGCACAGGGTTACCTTTCCTGTGAAATCTCCAACTTAAAAAAGTATAACGTAACCGGTCTATAAAATGGAATAGAAACCAGTACAAATTCCCTAAAACAAGTAGAAGAGGAAGCAGAAACATCGCTTGTAGGGAAAACTTTCGGCAATACAAAATTGCGATAGAAAAAACTACTAAGTGACTGACCTGGGTTTCTACTGTTCATGAAAAGTACTACGCTTCGTCGCAACAACAATAATGAATGATCAGAATCTGATGAAGACCGTAGATTCCACTTAAAATTTAAAAATGAGAGTTGGTTAAGTATAACCTCTGGCTAAAAGGTGCAAAGATTGGTAATTCACGTCAAGTTTAATATAACAAAAACAAACATAACGAGAAGATGCTGGAAGTCACCATTCTCTCACCGGAATCCAAAACATTAGTGTTTCAAAGTCTCGAAGCGTTCTGGCCCTGTGATCTCGCGCCATGTCTCGGATCGACTTCTTGATCCTAGCCAGGCACATTTCTTACCCCAGCGGTTGGTCCTCAGGGATAATTGGAAGACTTACAACGAACAAAACAGTAAATATTTAAGAAAAGCTGTTCATTATGTTTTGAGTCTTTTCCGCTTAGGTCATCAAAGTGTTTCTGTGAGTGGAATGGCGGTCAATTTGACTCTTCTCGGCTCTGAAGAAGTCGAAACCGCCGAGATACCAGCCAGTATCGTACTGAATTAATCTTGTACTCAACAGCCTTGTGTCTGCGCATCAAGAAAACGGTGAGTTACAATGAGTTCATGGAAAACCGTTCAAATGAGAAACGGTGATCTTGGAATCCGCACGAAATTCGATAGGATGAAATGTCGCATTCATGTAGGAGTGAGAAAGTGGGCATATGAACACGAATGAGAGGGTTGTGTAAAGCATTGCCTTCAATCGATAACACGCCGGAAGCGGAACCCTACGCATGGATCCTACAACGTTCTCAGGATAGGACCATCTTCTTCCCTTCTCCCTCACCCTCTCACGTCTTAGTGAAAATCGAGTGAGTTTCCAGTGAGGCAAAACGACAAACTACTGCCATCGATGGAGTAAATATGTGAGCCACACTGTAATCTCGTCTACTTTTGTACCTATCCGATCAGATGTCAATTTTTGAGGATTAAAATAAATAACATAAGAAAAGTAAGAAAACTACTCCGCAGTACTAAAACTGACTAGCGATGTTCTCATTTTGTTGGCATTTTGCCAACTGTAAATGCGCCAACTTGAAATTTACGTCAGTTACGATTATTGACGTACTACTGGATTTAGTGCGTGCAGATTAGTTGTAGTCTGAAGAGAACGGAATAGCTTTGTTGATGGTCCAATGACTACTTATTTTGTTGTAAGATATGAAAACCGTGTACAATTGATCATCTTTCTTGATGAAAGGTAGTGGATAATTATCTGATTCTCGTCCACCTCCCTCTGACGGCTTGCACTCCCAGTGCTTCAGTCCTCTCACCCGCACAGCAGTACGCCTGACTCAGTCCTGTTAGCAGGGCACTGTACAGCACCAATGCTAAGCACCATCTTTGTTGAATTCTTTTTTATGGGACCCGACGTCACGTATTGTCTGGATTCCAGCGTGTCTTTCACTCGATTCTTTTCCTCGGTTCCACGAAGGTGCCCGGATATAGTTGCCGATTCAGTTCCTTCTTGAGAGTCTTCGTATAGTTTACGGTTTTCGTTGAATGGTGATTGGAGCGACGCTCCCTAAAGTCGTAGGACAGCTGAGCCTGGGGCTTCCCATCTGGATCGAGCAGAGAGCCGAGCCCAAATAAGCCCGGTTCAGATTTCACCATCTCATTCAATTGGCCCGAATAAACTATTTTCTTGTGTTTTCTTGTATCTAGTCCACTGCCTCTCCTCTCATCCTTCACACATAAAAAAAGCACTTATCAAAAATATGTATCGTACGGCTAAAGATGTGTGTACAGGAGAAGAGGAAAGGAAGGAATCGCGAAACCTGGCACGAAAAATTGCCATTTCCAATGGCTACGAAGTAGAAGCCACTCGGGTTAGAGGAAAACGTTGGGTAGTTTCCCAAAATAATATTTCAGACGAAAGTAAGATTCCCTTTAAGCTGCCCTTCATATCAAATGAAGTAAGTCACGCCATTAAAAAGTGCTTAAGTAAAAGTGGTCTTGAAAATTATGTAACGATTATTGACATCCCACCCAATACGCTACGCCGCCATTTAGTTCGAAATCGTCTCTATGATCGTTTGTGCAGCTCAGAAAAC